TGAAAATGTTTGTCAAGCACGCCAGTGCCAGCGCTGTGGGTGCAAATATTTCTCAATCTTGACCGCAAGGCTGCCAAATGGCTGGGTCATAAAGAGAACGAGCCACCACCCCCCCGCAATGCTGCTTGAATCCCGAACGACCAAGAAACAAAAATCCCAAAGCCAAAAGTCACAAATGAAAACGAAAGGAAAATTACATGAACATAATTTGAATAGGAACCGCAGTGGAGCGGTAAAAGGCAGTGGGGGAAAGCAAGGACCCATCCAAGGTCACAAAATTGTTGGGACCAATTAGAAACTGAGGTTGACTCTGCGGTTGAACCCTGGGGCACTTTTGAATGGAATTGATTTGGTGCTAAGGTGCGAGTGCCAGTGCGAGCAACTAAATAAACCCAAAAACAAAAGGCAGCAAGCAGTTCTGAAAAGGCTAACCAAGTCGCAAGTAAGGGATGGAGATAAAGTGGAGAACTTGTAAACAGTGCCGAAAGCCCGATGAGAATGAAACGAATATGTCCGTTCGCTTGTGGCACATTTTTACAGCAGCTCAATTGTGAAAGAGTAAGCATTTTGTGAGAGTATCTTCTGTGGAAAATCAACTTTGAATAATTTCAAAGCATTTGCCACATTTATTTAAGCAAATAATATTATTGAAAATTTATTATTGACTTGAAAAATGCCAAAAAGGAACAAGAAATAATAATAAAAGATTAATAATCATAATGGAAATCCGTTGTTTTTTTTGTTTGTCTCCTTGCTGGCACTCACAATGACCGCATCAGCGAGGAGCTCTGAACCGAGCACTGGCCCAATCCCTTTTGCATTACGAAAAGGGGTCCCCTCTCTTGTCATCCATTTGGTGGACGCATTTTGTTTGCTCTGAATGCCAAAGGACTTGACGGCGTCAAATTTATGGGGCTTGACTTTCGCTCTCTTGGCATTCCGCGCCAGAATGCAGCACCATTGTCAATATGCCCCAACACTGCACAGTCCCCTATCCCCACCATACTCCACCATCCCCTCCATTACCGACTGCCTCTTAAAAGCATTCCACAACATTTTTGGCGGGCGACAATTTTTAGTGCCAAAAATAGTACCATTGAAGAGAGCCAGAAATGAATAAAAATCAAGCAACATAAAAAACAAATAAAACCAGCGACAAATCACTTGAAGGATTTTGGATGGCGGCTCGGGTAGGAGTAAGGAGTAAGGGTAGGAGGTCCTTGAAGTCATCCAAGCCTCCTCGCTAATTAGTTTACAGATGGAGCGGGCAAAGCAGAAGCCGCAAGAAATAAAATCAAATTGAAATGCAACAGAAAAAATGATAATAATAAAGGAATACCCTTGCAGAGTGAAATTTAATTGTAAAGTTCTTTGAAATAAGTACAAGAAATAGAGAAAAATATTTGTACCAGATTCAAAATAAGTCTTAAATAATAATAATAATATCACATAGAGTATTTGCAGAGAGATGGAACTAAGAGTGAAGGGACATTCGAATTGGAGATCCTATCCAAATGATGATTACATTGCCAGTGTAACCCTATGCTCGACGAAATTACTGGGGAAAATGCTCGGCAAAGTTCGAGTAAGAAACTGGAATATGCTCTGGTTAGGGCATGATAAATCAATGACAGATGACAGATGATGGCTGGAGCAGACAGACAGCTAAGCAAGTAGAGTGCAACACAGTACTATTTGCATGTTTAGTATTTAAAGCATTCATCTCTCTCTCTCTCTCCCTCTCTCTCTCTCTCAGCTGATTCGTTTATGTGATACGCGCACCACAAAGTGCTGAGGGAAAATGAAGAATGCAGCGAGTTGGCAATTTAGTTTAGTTTTCACCCCTCGCCCACCCATACTCGTACTTTGAAAAATAAGGAAAATCTTGTATTCTTTCTGCTTGTGTTTCTGTTGCTTTGCTGCCTGCCTGCTTTTGGCTGTTTTTACAAATTGAAAAACTAAATTAAGCGCACAGAAACGTGGCAGATAGCATGGAAATTCACTTCGCACACAGCCCGAAAAAAGACTTCTTGCCACATTTCTGATTTAATTTATTTAAAGAAGATTAAACGTTAAACAAGTATTTAATTTATATGGTTTAGATCTCTGAAGCTATGTGTTTGGTTTTCATTTAATTCTACAAAACTATGACAGTTCAAAAATATGTTGAAGAAATATAATTTGGATTATTTTCATTCCCGTGAAATAAAATCTAGTGCCTTAAACAGCAACAGCAACAGCCCATGACCATGACAGCCCCCGTATATATGTAGATACTTCCCACTCATTGTAGTCAACATTTTCATATCCCTGTGGGAACGTATGTACATGTTTTAATTATGTGGATAAATCCATTAGGGAATTTAGCTAGTAGCTAAATGTTAATTATATTCCATTTACAACTTCAAGCTGATCAAAAGCTTCCTCAAAAGCACATTTCCTGTGCTCTTCCTTCAGACACTGCTCTTTCTACTAAAATGGGAGTTAAATGCAATTTGCAATGTAAAACTACATTTAATGATTGGTAAGTCACTCAGAAACATTTGTACCACACTCTCTCTATGTTCCTTTGGCTTTAGAAACCAAAATATATTCGATCTACGATCACGTTTACCGCTTGGCAAATGAAATACTCTCTCACCTTTGGGGGGGAGATTTTCTCTCTCTTTCTCGCAGCTTTTCTAATAATTTAACTTGTAAATTTGTTTTTTGTTTTTGTTTTTTTTTGTTGCAATTCAAATGTTTTAACTGCTAGCCGAGAAACATTTAGTGCGCGTCACAAAAGATCACATGAGAAAAAAACAAGAGCAAAAATGGTTGAACATGCTTAAAACCGTTACACACGGGGGCGATTTGAAAGCACTTTTACCGTTATGGCGGGTATTAACTCGCTCTTGCTTGGTCGTTTCGCGTGCTCTTGTTGGTCCTGTTATGTGGTGCGCTGCTTGCGCCGTTGGCAAGCGAACGCTGGCGTTGTCAATGCTGAACTGTTGGCTGCTACTTGTGGCATTCATCGTCCTCTGGATGCCAACGCAAAAAATAAGAAGAGCAGAACATAAAAGAAAAACAACCGAGCACACGCATGAAAGAGGCGCCACAGCAGCAGGCAGCAGCAGGCAGCAGCAGCAGCAACAGAGGCGCCACACGAGCAACAATGTGGATGTCGTGCCGTGGTCGTGGTCGTGTCGGTGTCGTGTCATCTCGTTTCCGCCCCTCTTTGGGTGGGTGGCCAGTTCATTTCGTTGGATTCACTGGCGAATTCGCCTGCCTCTGCTAAATTCGTCTGCTGGGTAATGAAAAAGCTCTTAGAGCCGAGTCGGACTCTCTCTCTCTCTGTCTCTCTCTCGCTGCAAACAAAAAGCCGGCTTCAAACCGGGAGCGTAAGACTAACAGCTGCGCCCTTTGGCTCTCTGTGCTTTACCGGTGCATTGGCAAGGTCCAATCAGCGTAAGGTGATGCAAAAGTTTGGTGAATAAAATCACAGATCCGTGAACTGGAATGCAAATGCAGAACCAAACCAACCGAACCAAACTTTTGCAGCACATATTTTTAATTTACCTACATACATATGGACAAGTAATTTTCCACTTGTGGCAAGTAATAATTATAATTATAAATCAGAAACATAAACCAACAGAAAGGCGTTGCAGGAGAGCTCTACCCTGTCCGTATCCGTGTCCCCACTCCTTGGCTCAGTCCTGTCGAGAAATAGTCAAATATTCTTAATATTCGTTTGGTTTTTTGATGTTGTTGTATTTTTTAATTAATTCATAATAAAAGTTTCTATTTTTCGGTTTTTTGTTGTTGTTTTGTTTGTTTGTTTGTATCGACGCTTAGCTAATATATTTATTATTATATATTATATATATGTATATCTACAATAGTTATTAGCATTATCATTAATAAACTGTTTGTATTTTTGTTTGTATTATTTTATTTGTTTTTTTTTTGGGTCATTCCTTCTTCCTTTGTGGAGTTGTGTGGTGGTTGTGTGTGTGTGTGTGTGTATTGTGGTGTGGTGTGGCTCCCTTCGACAAGTTTTTCGATTTTGACAATTAGAGAAAACCCCCGAATATATTAGTATTCACTTAAGACCGACCGCGGACGGCGCCGCCCCACCCCTCCCTATTTAAATGCTAAAAATAGCCACAAAAAAAAGTACTAAAGAAGTGTTTTGTTTATAAATATGTATATATAGCGGAATATCTATATATTCATTTAGGTGTAAATATAAAGTGTTTTTTTGTAATCTTACGATTAAGGTTATCCAAAACAATTATGCTAAAAGAGATAATCATACATAATAATGCGGAAAATTTAACCGGAAAAAAAAAATAGAACTACTACATACTTAATATACGATTCGTAGCATCATAAAAAAGAGTAAACTTAAGTAAGTAAATATAAATTTTTGATGGGATGGGTTCCAAGCAATGTATGGGGTGGGGCGACGTGTGTCGCGTGTGTGTGTCTGGATAGTGTGGCGTGTGTGTGTGTGTGTGTGTGCATGTGTGGGATTTCTAATAACTATAGACAATTTCCATCATTAAATTGTTGAACATCGGGGTAAAACAATTGCACTTATCAAGAGCAATCATCTATATCCTTTAAGCATCCATCAATAACGATTCCCCAAAAAACAAACTAAACATCTTTCTCTCTCTCTCTCTCTCTCTCTGTGTGTCTCTCTCTATATCTCTGGGATATTGCATTTGAAATAAATATTAATCATTTGCTTAATCAGTTTGGTCAAAGCTGAACCGAACAGCTTGGTGTTTTCTTTGTTAGTTTTGTTCTGTTCTGTTCTGTTCTGTTTTGGGTTTATATGGGAGAAACATAAAAGTGTTTCACCCCCCCCCCCCCCCCCCCCCCCCCCCCCCACGTTGCGTTCCTCAAGCTGTTCTACAAAATTACTTGGAAGAGAAGCAGAAAGAACAGGCCCTAGTTGTTCTATGTAGTTCTCGGCTCTCTAATGTGAATCTTTTATTTTTTTGTTTTGTTTTCCTGCTAACGAAGGCTGAAAGCGTGTGAAGGATTCGACTGTTAGACTTGACTCGCATTTTGGTTTTGTATGTCCACCATTATTATGCTCATATGTACCATACAAATATGTACGTATTTATAGTAGATGCTGTGTTTCTTCTTTTTACATATACAATCTTTATATACTCTATATATATAGTTATATATATTTTGTATATAGTTTAATTTTTTGCTTTTTATTGTAGTTGAGTATACTATGTTGACATTTCTTGGTGTTCGGTTTCTGTTTTTGTTGTTGTTGTTGGTGTTTTTGTTGGTGTTGTTGGTGTTTTTGTGTCTTCGATTTAATTCGATTTCGAGGCTTTATCTCTATTGCTTCTTGATTGGTTTTCGATTTGTATATTGCATAGTTAAGTCATCTTACTTCATTTTTATCAGTTGTGGGTTGGTGTTTGTTGGTGATTCCTATTGAGTTTCTTCTCTTCCGCTGTCTTGCTTCATTGTTTGTTTAATTAATTATTTAATTTACGTTTTCTTGCTAATTATAAATTATATTTTAGTTTTTTTTTTTGTTGCAGTTGGTTTTCTTCATCTTGTTGTTGAACAGCTTGTTGTTTTCTTCTTGTTGTTGAACAGCTTGTTTTTGTTGTTGTTATCTTGTGGTGGAATATTTCTTGTCTCGTTGCTGTAGAGTTTCTTGCGCTGCAGCCGCGAGTTTTATAACTTTGCCTTCATTGTGACGCTGCCACCCCACAGCAGAGAGAGCACATGAGGGTTCTCTCGCGGATCACAAGAGAGCATCCGTTGTGTGGTTTTTGCTTTTAGGGCTGGCGGATGATGCGTCGCCGTGTGGGTAGAGTAGAGTCGAATCGAGTCGAGTAGAGGAGCAAAACAGCAGGATGCACGTGTGTGTGTGAGTATGGTGTTATTGGTGGCCGCCTGGCCCCACTCGCAATCACCATCACAGTCCCCACATCATCGCCAAAATGCGAGATGGAGAAGGCAATTCAATGCAGCTGGGTGGGGTTCTGGGCGTATCATCAACACATCATCGCAATCATCATCAGCTGCGCCAGAATATGCTCTTTTTGAGCCTGACAGACAGCTTGCGATGCACGCGCAGCCTAACCTGCTCCTGATCCTAAGTATCGTCAGACATGAACGCGTTCTGAGTCTTCGACTCCTCAATTCGGCGAATTTGCTGGCGCAAATACATGATTCTGTAAAGTAAATAAGACCAAACGGATAGAGTTTATAGATTATACTGTGACTTAGGGGCACTCACTTCTGTTCCTGGAGTGTGGCGTTGATCTCAGTGCTGCGCACTAGACTCCGCGCGCATTTTAGTTCCGCGCAAATTCTCGTGCAGGTAATATCCCCAAACAGATGCGTGTCCTCGCAGCATTTTTGCGCCTGCAACAAGGTACAAGGATTAATGTCAAATGTTCAACCACAAACGTGGCAATGGGCAACGGGCAACGGGGACGGGAGAGCGGCATGTTAGATCAAATAATTGGGAGGAATCAAATCAAAATAGAAATATGTTCATGTGTTATTGTACGACCATATCCTACCTCAAAGCTTACCTGACGCTCCAGTATCTCAGCCTGCCAATTGGTCACGTGCGCAATCAAGTCAGCGCGAAAGTATTTGGCCAACTTTGGCGAGATCTCCGGTCCTCGAAGATTTGCCGCCTGAACTGAAGAGCCCACACAGCTCTGCAATGAGCTAAGTGCGCCCGATGCCCCATCCACTACACAAGGAAGGAGATTAATTATTTAGTTGGTGAACCATTAGGAAGGAGGGAACAATTATGCAAAAACTTACACTTTCGCTGCTGTTGGGCCTGTTGCGCCGCCTGCTGTTGCTGCTGGACTGATGCCTGTGCGACTGCAAGGGCTGCCGCTGCCATTGTGGCGGCCATTGCCACCTGTTGCTGCTGCTGTTGCTGTTCTAAAGCTGAGCTTAAATCTAATTCCATGGTTGGTGTTGGCGGACCGCCATCCCCAAGAGACATCACCCCCGCCACACTGTTGCTGCCCATTGAGGTGATCACACTGATCCCACTGACGGCACCCAGGCCGGGTACAATATTTTGGCTGCTACCATTACCGCCACCGCCTGGTGTTGCCGGTGAGACACCACCATCGACAACAGTCTTGATCGGGCCGTAGGTCGCCTGGCAGGTATATGAATTTCCAATAATGCTGGCGGCATTCACAACCGTTCCGGTGTTCGTAATACCCACAATCGTTGGTATGGGACTCTTGGTATAATTCAGCGGGGGCGACAGATTGTGATGGGGATGCGACATGTACAGAGGGGAATTGATGCTGTTATTGTCCCTGAAAGAGAATATATTTTTGAAAGAATTATCAGTTAGGTTAGGCATGGAGAAGGGAGGGACAGTTGGAAGACATACCTTAAGCTATTTAAGCTATTGCCGGTGACTGAATTATTGACCGAATTGTAGGCATGATTCACCAATGCATCGGACCCTGATGCATTCACAGATGAATTGTGTTGCCCATGGTCGTGCACGCTCATACCCAAATGCATCTTTTGACGTCCCTTGCTGCCGCTGCCAGGCGGCAACGGTGCATTTGAGTTTAGGTGATGCTGGTGTTGATGCTGCTGCTGGTGGGGATCCTGATTCGACAGCGTTGGCACAGTCGTCTACAAAAGTGAATTATCAATTATTCAAAGCAAAGAAAAAGCATATTAAAGGGAAGAACCTACGCTGGAGGTTGAGCCAATGTGGCCAACAACTGAGTTTCTAAGGCTGCTGCTGTTGCTGCTGCTGCTGCTATTGGCAATGCTTGGGGGCACCGAGGAGAGTCCGCTGGTGGGTAGCATGGTGGCACCGGACACGGGTCCCGCGCCTGACCCACTACCGCTGTAGTGCAACGCAGCTGCTGCAGCCGCTGATCCTCCCATTGGCGCTCCACCAGCTCCCGAGGAGCTACCAGTATTCGGATGTGAGGCCAGCCGGGGCAATGCATTACCCATGGGTTGATCCATTGTTGCATTGCTGCTATTACCACCACCGCTGCCGCCGCCGCCTCCTCCTCCACCTGCACTCATCCCGGTGCCGCCATGCGTGGTGGGGGTGCCGGTCAGGGAGTAGCTGGCCTCTGAGGTGGGCGTCGAATCGCCGCTAATATCCATATCAGCACTCTCGTTATGCCGACCTGTTGTTTGGTCAGAGACTTGCATGAGAAACGTAATCCTGCATTAAGTTTCGGGCTCAAACATACCATCCAAACGTCTCCGATGACTCGGCGGTCCCACATCATCATTGTAGCTCCATCTCAGTCGTGTATTATCCCGCGAAGAATTGGAATGTTTGTATGCTGTCCAAAAGAGAGTGTAAAAGAGAGAGACAGAGAGAATTAATAATAGGAATCCAATAGAGAAATATCTCCCATATCTGACTTACTCGATCTGCTGAAGCGATCATCGCGATCTCGGTCACGCTCCTTATCGCGATAGTCCTTCTCCCTATGCTGATCACGGGGCAAATTCCTAGAAAACAAATACACACTGAAGGAGCGGAGGAAAGGGAGAAAGGGAGATGATTATTACCTTTCTCTGTCCACCCATTCCTTTGGCTTCTCCCACTGAGAGATTTCCGTTTTGCAGTTGTAATAATACATTTTTCCTGCAAAGAGAATCAAAACAGAGGAACACACTTAGCATTAGGCATCGCAGCTATTATTGCAACTATCGTAGACACTCACCCGATGAGCTGACATGTTCACTCCAGTCGCCATAACGCGCCGTACGCTCACCTCTGTCGCTGCGATCCCGCTTGTCTGTGTGTACCGAGAGAAAGAACATAAATAACTATAATAATTATGTGTGTGCCAGTCCACTCACCTGCATATTTATCCTTCTTGTACATATCCCTGTCACGATCAGAGCCACGATCACGCTTGTCGCGGATATCACGCAAATCACGATCTCTCTCCCGATCGCGATCATCAGAGCCGGAACGTTTGTCATTCTCGCGGGAGGAGCATAGTTTGCCGCTGGCACCGCTGCCTCCGCCACGACGATCCCTGTCATGATTAGTGCGATACGATTCCGAGTCCCGATCATTGCCACGTCGATCTCTTTTATCTAATTATAGAAAATGAATCATTAGCAAAGAGTTTGGCAGGGAAAAACTGTAGCCTTAGCCGACTACTACTTACCAGAATATTTATCCTTCTTGTAGACATCACGATCCCGATCGCGCATCTTTTGTATGAAGCTGTAGCGCTCGTTGCTGCCACCACGGCCACCTCCGCCACCACCGCCGCTTCCTCCGCCACCACCAACGCTGCCACTCCCCCGATGATCGTTGCGATCCCGCAAGTCGTGTGACCTCGATGAGGGGGAATCAATATCGGGCGATTGAGAGCGATAGCTGTTGCCATTGTTTAGTGGGCCACCACCGCCGCCGCCATTACCGCTGTTGCTGCCGCCACCGGTGCCGCCACCGCCACTGCCACCCGGTGAGAGGTCGCGATCGCGATAATTGGAGGAACGATCACGTTCATAGTCGCGCTTTGAACTGCTGTACTTTGAGCTCTGGATGGGTAGACAGACGGGGAGGAGCACAAGTGTTGGAGAGAGTAGAAAAAGGACATTGTCATATATAGATTTTTAGTCTGGGTCTCGCTCTGCAAAGCTGCTGATGGATGCGGATGCTCTAATGCTCTGCTCTGATGTCTTTTTTTATTTTGTTTAATTAGTTGGTTAATTATTATTAATTATTAAGTTATGGTTATATGGTTACGGCTGCTGCTTTTCTGCTTGGGGGGACGGGGGCAAGTACTTTCGGTTAGTTGTCAAACAAAAGGGTAAAACTAAATTCTACGCAATGGTTCTTAACTAATGACAAAAATAATACTCCTTAATACGGAATGCAAGAGAAAAATGCATCTACTATTTTTGCCAATTTGTGTTTTTGTTTTTCTTGTGAGAGAATAAATATAATGCCAATACGCCAATATACATACAAATGTATATAAAACAAAAAGGAAATGAGAGAATATTATATTATGTGTGTGTGTTTTTTTTTTGCGCTGTTTTTCCTTTTGGAATTTCGTTTGCACTGCAAAACGAAACGGTAAAAAATAACGGTAACAAACGTAGGAGCGAACGAAACTGGAACGAAGGGAACGTAACGAAACGGTAAACAAAACTCAATTTGAGTTGAAATTATACAAATTCATAAGAATTCTTTGGTTTTTTGGTTAAATATTTTTGTTGGGCATTGTTTTTTTTTTGTTGTTGCTTGCTTCTTTTGCAGTTGCTGCTTCTTCATCTTTGACGGCTTCCTTCTTTTTACTTTCTTCTGGCGGTGCTGCTCATCCACTCTCTTCTCTTTCTCTCTCTCTCTATCCTCTCTCTGACTCGCTTTTACTTACATCTAGGCGACAGAAGCCAACAGCTGACGTTGACATCGATGTCATTGCTGCCGCTGCGACTGCGCTCTTGCTGCTGCTGCTGCTGCTGCCGCTGCTGCTGCTGCAGTTCGCTGGCGCTGCCACCGAGAGAGACAAATCAACGGCCATGTTGCTGTTGTTGCTGCTGTTGTTGTGGTTGTGGTTGCCGCTGCTGCTGCTGATGCCCCTCATCGATGACTTGCTGCTCCTCCTGCCCAGGGGCCGCCTGATCCTGATCCTCGTCCTGGTCCTCGTCCTAAAGCTGATTAGGATATCAATGTTGTTGGATTTCTTGTATAAACTTTGGATTTTTAAAACCGCAGAGTAAGCTCTGCTTTCGTCTTGCGGCGCCTTTTCGGCTTCTCCTTTTTATTTCGCCTTTCCTGTTCGCTTCTCCTTTTGTTGCTGTTGTTGTTTAAATTGATTGTTGCTTAAGTTTTGTTTTTTAGGCACGTTTGTGTATATTGTTACTATTTTTTGATGGTTTTTGTTTGTTTTAAATTTGTAATAGTTCCTATTTTCCTTTTGTTTTGTTAAGGCTACTGATTTGATTAAGATTTGGTTTAGGCAGCGCTTAGTAATTTGTTGTGCATTGTAATTATTGCTTCTAATAGTCGTATATATACAGATACATATATATCAATCTATATATGTATATATTGTATAAATATGTATAATTTTAATAGTTTAATAAATGGAAATATTCGATTTGTAAAATTGTTTAATAATAACTTCTATAGAATATTCATAGGTCTCGGTTTAAAGCATTTTTTTCCGGGCCTTTTGTTAGGGTATATTCCATCTTCTGTTTGATATATATATTTTTTTCAGATTAATATTTTGCGCAAACGTTTTTTCGTAGGATATTTTTGTTGTTGTATTATTTCGCTTGTTTATTAGTTTACAAATATGAAGTAAATATATATATTTATATGTATAAATGATTTGGCGTTTTGTTTGGTTGGTTTGCTTTTAGTATCGAAGTAGTATATTTTCAAGGCGTTTTTCCAGTTTCGTTAATAATTCTGTGTTTGCTTTTTCGCATACGATATAGATTCGTTTCTTAATCGTTTCAATATCAGTTCGGTTGGCTGCAATGCCGCGTGTTCCCAATGGGTTAAAATGAAACGGTTTTTGTCAGTTCTAGAATGGATTGTGGGGGGAATATGGGGGGTCTGTGGGTTTCAGAGGTGTCTGTTTTGCGGGGTGGAGTGTTTCTTGACATTTGGATGCACACACACTCACACAGTTACACACACATACAAACCGTTGGGGGGGGACGGGGGGGGGGGACACATCAATACATAAGGGAAATATAATTTTGGGTTTGTGATGTCTAAAAATCAAACCATTTATCAACGCAAAAATTAGATATTGGTTGGGTGGATGGGTGTTCTTCTACATAAATTGATATGATAACTGGATGGATTTTGCATTGGCTTTTTGGCTCTATATATACACACACAGATGGCCACTAAAGAAAAACTATTTGTTAACACTATCCTACAAAATAAAACTAAACAAAAACAAAAAAACATGCAAAATAGTCAAGCAACCGAATCTCAAAATACGATACGAAAAGATACATCAGAGGGCGGGTGGGGCTTGGGTTTTGATTAGTAGAGTTGTACTATTTTTGTTTTCTTTTTCTTTGTAGTTGGTCTTTTGTTTATTGTTTTCTGTTTTTTTTTTTTTTTTTGTATATTTGGACGTTTTGTTCTTTGGTTTTTCTTTTACACGGAAACTGTCTGCTCACCTGGTAGGAAGTGTGACTGGTATGCTTCTCAAAGTACCTGCAGAGTTAAAGGTAAAGAGAATAAATATATGGATTAGATTATTTAATGAATAAATAAATAACTATATGCACTCTTTGTTTTGGGCTGTTACTTTTTTTCGTGTATTTCAAAACGTTTAAAATGCAAACTCAATTAATAAGAATAACCGAAAATACAAATAAAAGAACTAAAAGGTAAATGGCAAAAGCAAAACTGTAAATGTGGATAGGAATCTCTTTTTCGTTTGCCAGCTGAGCCGGTGCGAGCGAGAGGCAGCTAGCGTGTGGTGAAAATACAAAACACACACGAACAACTGGAGAATGAAGCATAAGCCAAAAACTACAACTAAACGCCACTTAAAAATGAATGAAACTATTCGATGAATGGCCGAAAATCATAAGAATTATGAAATTGATGAACAAACCAAAATATTGCAAAGGCCGGTAAAAGATAGATAGGGAGGGGACTGGGGCTGCTACGAGCATAGCCACACAGAACGTAAACAAAAAATATTCAATTATGGGTTTGCCTCTATGCATGAATGTGTGTGCCTGTCTGTGCCTGTTTTCAGCCTGCATGTGCAGATGCGTTTGCCCATGTGTGTGCGAATGTGTGTTTCTGTGTGTGGGTGTAGTGTAATTGGAAATCATACCCATCGTTCATACGCTGCGGTTTTCTAGCATGCATTACCATCAATGCAAAATGTTCGCCAAATACGCTGCTTCTATTGTGATTGTTGTGATGCTCCTCCAGCTGCTGCTGCTGCTACTGCTACACCTGCTCCTGCACTCAGAGTGACAGTGCGGAACCTTTTCTGTCTCCAAACTGGGGCTAATTACGGATAGGGTCCGGCCTCTGTCCTTGGGTTCTTCCTTTGGCTTTCCTTGCCTTTAGCTCTGCTGCGCCTGCTGATGTCCTTTGTGGCGGCTAAAGTTTCTTTTTCGGGGCTTTTGCCGCCTCCTTCTCACCTGCCAAGGCACACGCTTGTGTTTGTGTGGAATATATATATATATATGTGTGTGTGAACGTGATGGGGGGGGGGCTCTCTCAACGCGGGCGTGAGCGTTTGTTTCGCCGTTTAGCAGCCGTTTTTTGGCTTTGCTTGTTGCCTCCTGAAATAACAGAACCAACATTAGCTATTTGTGTCCAATTCCTGTGCAAATTATGAATTTTATTTGGAAGAATGCATTGCGGCTTGCACTTTTTTCACTGGATGAAGTGTGAGCTCGCATATGTGTTTGTGTGTGTATGTGTGCGTGTGAGTGTCGTTGTCGCTTCTCCGTATTTTTCATTGCTTCTTTGGGGTCGCCTCTGGTTTAATTAGCTTACCGCAATTCGCTTACCGCTCGCATGCACAACGCACTACACGGTGTATTTAGTTGTTAAAAATATAAATTACTTGATAACTCGCCCCCGACTGCTGCGTTTGGCCTCTATACTTGATGATTTTTTTCAATTCTTTTACATTACGCTTTGTGCGGTCTGTTCGTCGGCACGGCCGTGTTGAATTTGACAAATCAGCTCATATACTCATCTCGCTTGCACTCTGGTTGGCCAAGCAGTCATAGGGATAGCTGTGCAAAAGACAAGGAGAAAAGTATGTTTCAACATGTTAGTACTCGTGGTGAACAGCAGATGGCGAAATTAGTCCAGCACAGTGTTTATTCGATCACTTTGACAAACATAAATCGGCTCATATTTGCGTTAAGAATAACATATTATCGATATATCGACATTTTCATTTAACATTTAAAAAAAAATTGTTCACTAAGAATAAACCAGAGTCTAGCCCGATTATGTTTTAAAGATAGAAGAACTGCCCCCAAACCACTCCGAGCTTATTATAATATGCACTTATGCTCCTTCTCCCTTTCAGGAAAACAATATAATTATCTTCCTCTTTTGTTGTGCGCGCCATTTTTCAAATTGTTCAATGTTATCAGGAGAGAGGGTGATTATAATGAAAAATTCAAATACAAATTTGTAAAATATAAGGTCATAAGGTATACAAACCAATACAAATTAGTATTTACGATAGGCAAAAATTGATTTTTCAATCGGATTAAATTATTGTTTCAGTGGTGAAAGTCTTTGCAAGCTTGTAATTTCAAATATAACATCAAAATCAAGGAATCTGATTTAAGAATACGGTATATTTACGGTATATTTTGAAGATGCAATGGTACATTTTGGCATATTTACGAGGCCCTGGCGGTATATTCTATCGATAATTTCGCTGTCACACTGGTCACACTGCTTGGATTTGTTCGCAAACAAAAAAAATAAAAAAAGTATAAAAGAATTCTGAAGATTTTTCAAAGGAATGAGACCGCCGCAACCCAAAAATTTGATCAGCAATCACATATTTCTGACCCCCAGCAGCGACTACGTTCGCAGCGTAGGGAAGGTGAGTGCACAGAACCCAAAAGCATTATGTCCGTGCTCCTCCGCATTCAAACATTTCCTCTACTGCAGCTATGCGAACGCGCCACGCTCCAAGACAAGCGAGTGCTGCTCATCACAAGTCGCCTGTACGATCTGTCGAAGGGTCACGATGGCTGGGATGGCCGTCAGTCCGTCGTCAAGGGTCGCATTTCTGTCTGCAAGCTAATTGACATCGAGAGTACGCCGCAACAACTGCTGGACCTGCATGATGGCTACGAGCCATCGCACGATCTGCCAGATCTCATTGTCTTTGACTTGCACTCCATAATTTCGGAGCTGCTGAAGCGACCCGTGCTGCAGCAGTGCTCCACCGACAAGCTGGTGCGCCACATTGCCAAATGTTCGGCCGCCTTTGCCAATTACCGTGAGCTGGTCTGCAATGAGCGGCTCGGTGGCAAGCCGTCGGATGCTAATGGAGCCAATGGAGTGGACACCATTGTGATAATGTCACAGGAATCATATCCCATGACACCGGCACAGTTCAAGCTGCTGATGGGCCTCTATTACTGTGGCAACGAGTGCTACACAAACTTCTCCCAGCTCTCGGCTCAGATCTCGCTATCCCAAGGCTTGGGCGTTTAAGCGCGCATAGAATGAACACTGAATGTGCCTTAGCTAGTTCCTTATAAACAAACAAAAAAAACACTCGTACATATCCCTCAGCAGCTGGAATAGAGCAGAGAATACCGCAAGGACATTCGAAATACTCGTAGATATTTACCAAGAAAAAACAAAGAACATTTACAAACATACATGGCATCCATGCAAACTGATTACACAAAAAAAAAACACACACACCAACATGAATCGAATCATCGATTTGAGGCCCAAGACTTGAAAACTTTAAACATTAAACATTACCAAACAAATCAACAATTACGATAATTGTAATTGTAATTGTAATATGTATATGTACATAAAAATATATTTAACAACAATTAAACGTACATCTATGCATATGAATTTCAAGTGAAGGGAGGAGGCGTCCTCGGGGAATGTGTGAAAAATGTATGATTGGCTTCCGAGAGGAAGAGAAAATGTAGAGCAAACCTTTAGGACGTTCCCTTTAACCTCTCCGGCTAACCCACTCAAAGCCCCAATTTACATTTAATTATGTGATATATAAATATTACAAATTTATTAACTAATTGAGGCTACAAAAAAATATACAATATTATAATTGATAAAACAGCTAAAACAAATTAATAACTAAATGGAAATCTTATTTCGCTAAGCCATTTCTGGAGAGAAATTTAGAACTTAGATGCGAAAGAGATTTGCGATACTTAAAGCTAGAGACACACGCACAAAAAAAAAACAAAAAAAAGGAACTAAGAATTGTATGCATAAAGCCCTGACCCAACCCCAGAGAGACGCCACACACGGCATTGGCATGGGCCAGTCGGAGTCTGCTCTTAAATGTAGTCCAGCATGCCGCTGACAATCTCAAAGGCATCCCGAGCCGTTGGCTCAATGGCGCTGCTGGGCAGCAGATAGCCATGGACACCATTGTCTGCCAGCTGGATGGTATAGCTGAAGGGTATGCCAATCTCGTAGGCGGCAAAGGCATCGGCGCAACCTTTGCAAATACTTGGAGGATGAGTGAGAGTCCAAATGGGGCTGATTGTTTGCTTACCGGAACGCTGCTCGATCAGATCGTTGGAGGCATCCACTTTGTAGCGCGATTTGCTGCCCTTTTTGCGCAGGCCATCGGTGCCCACCATGGCCACGTCCAGGAAGTCATCCAAGCGCTCCGAATTGAATGTGGAATTGGTCTTCACCGGATACGAAACCACTTGGCCATATGCCTGCAGCGAAATGTAGAGCTGCATGGGGGGGGGGAGGAGAATCAAGGATCAAGGCAATCGTTCAGAGCGTTCAAACAAAAGTCAAACCACTCACCTTGATCTGTGTGCGTTGATCCATGAGAAAATCGGAGACGGCCTTTGTCTCTGGCTCGGAGAAGGGTGCGGGTCCCGCATAGAACTCATTGCACGGCGCCTTGGAGCTGCCACGCTTGCCCCAATGATAGAGCCAATTCCGATCAAGATCCACGCCGTGGCATACCTTATCCGGGCCGCGTTTCGGTTGCAGCCACGTCATGGCCGAGTCGAGCAGTCCGCCCGGTGTGCGGGCCATGTGCTGGGAGCGCGACTTCTTCCAGAAACGATCGTACTCATGGCTAAAGGCATAACCGTCCGGATTCAGCACGGGCATAACATACCACGTGGTATTGCGTATCAGCTCCAGCTCCTCGTTGCTCTCTAACGTAAGGTGGAAATCAGATTCAGTATTCAAAGTTGCCTTTGCCATAGTCGTATCCTGAAATTCCCCATAGACAGAAGGAAAAACAAACGTCCCCCGCTCCAACAAAATTAAACGTGTAAAAAAAACTGCTGCTGCTGCTGCTGCTGCTGCCGGAAAATGACAGAGAAAACCATGATGCCAGCCATGATGGACTACAGCCTGGGCATGGCCATGCGCCACCTGTCCACGTCGCTGTGTCCGTGCAAAAAGTGCAGGGAGCGGCGCACGTATCGGGACAGAGCGCTGGCGGGCAGCGGACGAAGCAGCCCTGAGGAGCGTGAGTACGGCTGCAGGCACACGAGCTTCAGCAGCCTGCCGTTGTACAGACTAATGCCTGAGGTGCCGGACGACATCGGCTTCGGTTTCAGAGAACTCAACTTCAGAGCCACAGAGAGTAGAATCGCAGCCGCTGGCAGCCTGATGATTGGAGGTAGCACCAGCTTTATAGGTGGCCGGAGTTTCGTACAGTTTGATGAAGCCACAGCTGCTGGCAACAACAACAACCACAACAACAATAACAACAAAAACAACAGCTACAACACGCTTCGCGGACCCGTGGGCATTGATTTCTTTAAAAACGAAACCATCAACCTTGCCCTCACCTTAATCATTGAGATTTTTGGCGTACTTGTGTGAGTATTTGCGATCTAGATCCGGGATCTTAGATGCCTAAATGTGTCCTTTTTGTAGTTTCTTTGCCGTCTGCACAATCAGCTTCTGGATCACATTGGGCTATTATGTTGTGAAGCTATTGGTGGACTTGAAGAATGCAGACAAGCGCGTCAAGACGGCAGTGGCCATAGTAGTTGGCCTCCTAATGATGGCCTTTCTGGTGACGCTGGTCACGAATCGTGAGGGTGGCTTCTGCTGCCGTGCCAAGAGTCGTGCCAAGGCCGGGAGCAGGTGGAGCCTCAACTGTTGTCCCCGGCTCAAGGGCTTGCTCAATGTCAAAGCAAAGGTTGTGGCAGTGCCGGCCAAGCTAAAGCCACCAACATGTCCAGCAGCGTCGCCAAAGACCACCAGCGTCCGCCAGCCAAAGGTGTGCAAACAAAAGGTGAAATCGGTGGCAATCAAGAGCGGCAGGCAGCCCATCAAATGCTGGCTGGGCAAATGCAACATCGAGCCAAGATCAGGCCCAACAAAAGTTCGCTACACGGACAAGCAGGTACGAGCCATTTACACGAACTCCAAGCGGTATGCCATACCCTGTGAGATGAAGCAGCCGCCGATGGTGATTGTCTGGATACGGGAACTAATTGCACGCCTCATGGGCTCATAAAAACGGGGATCGCAGGTTTCAGGGTAGCAAACGGAACAAATCAAAATTTTAAAGTTGAAATAAACACTGGAGCCAATTTCCTACTGGGCTACGGGTAGCCCAATTACTCTATCTCTATCCCTTTCTAGCGCTTGTATTTCTAAGCGTGGTGGATAAGTAATTGGTTCTCCCCACAGACCAAGGTGACTTTGCGGAGAAAGACAAACGCTAGAAAGGGATAGCGATAGAGATAGAGTCGTGCCGACCGACTACAGTTATAAATGAAATGGAAGAAAATACGGCAAATATTTAGAGGGCTTGTCCACTCACTGTTGGTTTTCATCAATCGCAGCAGCTCGGCGATCATCCAGGTGGCCGTGGCTGGTCCAATCCATGCCAGACCATGGGCGCCAGCCTCCACAAAGACGGCATTCGCCTGGCCGGATTTTCGCTTGCGCTTGGGTCTCTTGTAGCCCGAGGATGTGGCATTGGCTGCTGCATTGGCCGCCGATTGCTTCGACTCGATTTTGACAACAATCAGTGGACGACCCTCGTAGGAGCGTCCAATGTGGATGAGCTCGACAAGCTGCGGATGCCGCATGCGCATCGTTTCCAGATATTGCACAATCTCGTCGTGTGTGTGATAACGGTTCCAGGTCATGCCAGGCTGTGCAATGGCCATGGGCCTCGGCTTGGATGGTCGCTTCGTGGCGATGGGTGTCGTGTGCAGATAATCCTCCTTCGACTGCTCATAGGCAATGGCCTTGCCCACATCAAAGATGAGCACCTCATGGGCAATGCCCTCGTAGTTGAGTGTGCCCTGGAAATCCACGAGCATTTTTTGCGGCACCAGGACATCGGTGAGACCTCTGGCATGGGAATTTGTAAGCGATTTGGAAGAGCCTCACAGCCTGACAGCCTGACAGCCTGACAACTCACCTGAGACTGGGCCCCTTCAGCCACTGCATCTTGACGCCATCCTCGCCCTTCTTGAACTCCTCCAGTGCTCGCACCTGTGCCTCATCCTGCGGCTTCAAGCGCCATATCTGATACTTATCATAGCTTATCCTGCGCGGCATATCCGGCTTCTCGGTGGTCGTCGTTGTCGTCCCCTTGGTCGTTGTCATTCTGGTGACCAGCGCCTGCAGCAAAGGATTCGCCGTCGTTGTGCCCGTGGAGTTCACTATGTGATGGGCGAGTATGCCAATCCAGTTTTGTGGATTCCTCAATGGATCCACAATTGTCAATATGGGCACCTGAGCGGCAGCCTGAGCCGACGGTTGGCTGGTTGTCGTCGACGTCGTCGTTGATGTCGTGCTGCGCCGGCGCACTTTCCTTTTGGGCTTAGCGTCGAACCAGCTATAAAACCATTCTGAAAAGGCAACAAAAAGTCGATCACATTTTCAGTCGGAGAGAGGGAAAGAGACAAAGAGGGGGAGTGCAGAAAGCGTGACACAAAAATTGAGTCAGAATAAACTCCCACATGCAGCAACCATTCGAGGGTCGTCGTTCTACCTATTGATTCTCATGGTGGCTCTACCTTCTACCTTCTCGGATACCCACTCGGGCTTATGGGATGCATTAGGTCTCATTTTTATTAGGGGGAAAGCGGCTATCAGATTGTAGCAGGAGGTTTTCCTCATACCAAATGTCTTGCCTATTGGTTAGTCTATGTCTGTCCGTCTGTCTGTCCGTCCGTCTTATTTGAAAACTCTTTCTCAGAGACCATAGGAGCTAGAGTCACCAAATTTTGCATTCAGACTCATGTGATATCATAGTTTCAAATTTTGGAATCATTGGATCATAATTATAGCAGAAATTGTAGAAATTCAGAACTTTGCATGGATTTGCACTTTTACTCACTGTCATAGTCATCTTCATCGGCATCGGTGGGCGTTGTGGTTGTTGTTGTTTTGCCAAGGCCAAACCATGACTCCAGCCAACTCGCTGGCTCCTGGGTGGGTGCTGGCACTGGCAGCACTGTGGTTGTGCTGGTGGTGGTGCTGCCAATCTTCTTGGTGCGTCGTCCCGGACCAAACCAAGAGCTAAACCAACTGCCCAGGCCCAGGCCCAGGCCGCTGCTGCCGTCCTCCTCCTCCTCGTCGTCATCATCTTCCTCGTCTTCGGACTGAGCATAGGCCTCGTTGCTGTGTGCGCTGTGGTAGAGCGTGTAGCTGGGATATTTTGGATACTTTGTGGGCTGCACCTTGTGATCCTCCTCGTCCTCCTCGTCGGTGGACGACGACGATGGACTGCCGAAGCCAAAGTCCATCAGGCGGGACATGGCCACTTGAACGGGATAGAAAATCATGCGAAAAAATCCACCAATGCCACCAGAATCATCATCATCGTAGTCATCCTCCTCCGATGAGGATGCCAAGGCGGGCGGTCGTCTCCGTATGCGTATCCGCTTCTTCTTTTTGGCCATGCTGTTCTTTGTGCTGGACAACTGCTCCTCCTCCACATCAGTGCTGGAGGGTGCGAGCGTTGTTTCCACCTCCGACTCTGACTCTTCCATGGCCCCAAAGTCGGCGCCCTCCTCCGCCGAGCTGCTGTCCTCCTTGAGATCTTCGGGGCTGCTACTGCTGGTTGCTTGTGCAGACTGTCCCGGCTCCTTTTCATCGCCAGCATCCTCATCCTCATAGTAGTAGGCATCCTCCTCCTCCTCCCCATCGGCATCATCATCATCGTAGTCCCCGCCAGACATCAGCTCGAATATATCAAAACCTGAGCCCTTCTCTGCCTTTGCCTTGGCCTTTGACTTTGTCTTTGGCTTTTTCTGTTTCTTTAGTTTGACTTTGCTCTGATCTGGCAGAGAATGATTCTCCTTGGCTGCCCCACTATGATTCCTGTGCAGCAGATGAACAGCGTGTGGCAGGTGCAACACTCCAGGTCCCGCCGCCGCATCAGGTCCCACTTGTGGTTTGGTTTGCGGCTTTGGCTGAGGTTTGCTTTTGCTTTTGCTGCTGCTGCTGCTGCTGCTGCCGCTGCCCTTGGGTCGCCTTGGCCTGGGGCTGCCAGATCCTCCACCTCTTCTACGACTTCTGGCTGTTCCTGCTCCAACTCTGAAGCCTGCTTTTAGTGGAGATCTTTCGAGGGTGGATGCTGCTGCTCCTCCTTCTTCTACTGCCAATCCTCCGCTTGCTGCCCGACGATGTCTCACATGTAGCTGAGGCCGAGCATAATGCTCCTGAAATCCCTGACTCAATCCAAATGAATGCTGACTGAAAATATTGCCAACCGTTGATGTGGTGGCCAGCGGCATGTGTGGCTTCTCCAGCTGCGTGGAACCAGGTGGTGGAATCGTTGTTGTTGTTGTGCTGCTGCTGCTGCTGCTGCCTGCCGGCCGCTTGCCCAGTATAATGAGTGGCGGACCAGCGTGTCCTGTTGCCGTTGTTGTGCTGTTGCCTCGCCGCTTTTGTCCAGGCCGACGTTTAATTGTCTTCACAGGAGTTGGCTTCTTCTTCTTGCGCTTCTTTCGCTTTATGTTGGATATTTTGGGTCTCCTTGTTGTGGTGCTGGTGCTGGTGGTGCTGCTGCTGCTCGCTTTGTGGTGCAACTTGAATACCTGATCATTGATGGTGGTTATGGGCCCACTGGTTACCATCACCGGCGGCGGTCGATGCTGTGGCTTTGGCAGCTTATTGCTGGCTCCAGCCTGTGATTTTTTTGGCTTCTGCAGGCGTATGATCTGTGGCCGTGCCGTCACACCGCCTTGTCCTTGTTGTCCTTGGGCATTTGGCTTTAGGTTTGGCGTGGAGAGCACCGTGCCTGGGGGTATCGCTAGCTGCTGGCATTGCTCCTCGTACCTTTGCCGCAATGCCTGCAGATCCGCATCGTACTGTGCCTTGGTCACATAAATGGCTATGGAGCCATCGCCGCCACCGTTGCCGCCGTTGCTGCTGCTGTCATTGCGGGATTGCGATCCCTGCGTTCCCTCTCCCACTTGGCTGATGGCATAGACAATGCCTGTCGCTGGATTGGAGAAGAATATGGGAAAACTTGATTGGGAGGAGCCATTCGCTGGACTTGGCTGCGGTCTGGGCTGCTTAATCTCCAGCAGCTGACTCTGCACATGCATCAGATCTGCTTCTGGCTGCACACTGCTGGGATTCGCCTCCTGCTCCACGGACTCCTCGAACACATATGGCTGCTGTAGAAGACTATCCTCTTGCTGCTCCTGCTCCTGCTCCTGGCTAAACAATTGAAAATTCAATTCTGGTGGCTCGAAACGTATCGAGGTCTCTGCATGCTGATAGCGCGGCACAAAGCGTTGCTCCAAGCGATGACGATCGCGATGCCACAAGCTGTCGTATTCCTCGGCACTGGGATGGTAGCCAAAGTCATAGGCCAGGCACAGCCAGAGGTTGGCCAAGAGCAGCTTGACCACCATGTGACCACCATTACGGCCACTAACAGCCATCACTCTCTTTCTCTCTCTCTCTCTCTCACTCACTCTATTTTGCGCGCGCGCTCGTCTCACACGTTTTGAAAGCCGGGAAGTTCTCTTCGAGGCGTGCGCGACCGTTTGGCTGCGAGTCTGTTTAATAAATGAAACAACGCAACGGCGGCCCAGCCACAGCGACCCAACTTAACCGGCAGGCCCCAGGCCCCAGGCCCCAGCCCCCAGCCACAGTCCAAGTCCAAGTCCCGAACGACTCTCAACGGGAGAAAGCCCCCTCCATTTGGCCATTCTTTAGCTCATCCTCCATTCCCCTTCGGCCAACCACCCATGCCACCCATCCCATGCATGAGTTTCGGCTGCTTGGCTTTTGCCCCCAGTCGTAACGTTTCAGTGAAGATGATGGCACCGTTGCCATCTACATCTTCCACCATCCACGTTCCACATTCCACGTTCCACCTTCCCTACCATAGCGCACACCGCACACGGGACGCGACTCCCTCTCTCTCTCTCTCTCCGTCTCCGACTTTGAATGTAAACGACGACCTGTCGAATGTTCTCGCGGGGGAGTTGGCGAACCAGGGAGTGAAAGGAGTGCCACTTAATGCCGCTTAACTGGCCTTGCGACAGTTATCGAAGCATTGCAAATTGCCGATCTAATCATAGACGACGGAGTTGCTGTTGTCTAACGACAATGGCACAGGCACAGTGGCGCACAAACTGCTCGAAATGGTTATGAAAAAAATAACTAAGAGTTTTCTAGAAATATTTGTTGGAAATGTATTGTTATTTCAGCATTGTAGAGCCACTAAAATAAAGTTGGATAGTTTCATACTTCATTGCAACTTGAGAAATTGTATCGAAAATTCCAGATAAATATTTTCAGATTTGGTAAATTTTTGTATTTATTGTATGTTATTTTGTTAATTTTATTCATTATTTATGCGAATATTTGTTACTTGATTATTGTTTTTTCTTTTTTTACTTCCCTACTCCAGCAATTTGCCCCAAGGTGCAGCCGCTCTCTGTTAGAACAAGAGTACCAAGTGCCAGAGTATCTAAGTATAAGCCTAAGATTGAGATTGAGATTGAGCTTGAGTGCTTCCTGGGAAGGGGAATGGTTGGAACTTACTCGCATGGCAACACGCATGGATCCCAGTATATCGCGGAAAATTGGTCCGTGAGGAACTCGGTCAGGTCATTTGATTGTGGCAAGTGGTGTGGGGGCTGTGGCAGTGTGTCCCACTTAGGCGACACAACTCTGTGCTGCCTTTTTGGTAGCAGGATGATGATGATGATGATGTTGCCGCTGCTGCTGGAAGCCACCAACAGGTCGGACTTGTCCGAGTCCCAGTAACGCTCCCATTCCCCTTTCACACACTATGAGAGAGAGAGAGAGAGAGAGAAATGCAATGCTATGACGACAACTCCAAGCTGATCAGAGATCATGAGCAGATGATTCACATGATTTTTGCAGCAGACTGTAGAGTGGAGTGGAGTTCCGTGGGAATGGAATGACAACGAATGGGAGTGGACAGCAAGTGGGTAATGAAAGCGAATCTACTCGATCGAATGAGTTCAATGCAAATACAATTTTAATCAATTGAATCGGAATGGCAGTACACGTACCACAAAAGTTACTTTAATAATTTTAGATGAATGAAAGAATTCCTCTTTGGTATCTGCGCCGAAAGATCCAGAAACAAAACCATATCTTTCACTTTCTATGCATTCTGCAATTAAATATGAATTTTGCGGCCCATTTTTTGATTTGTTTTTCTTTTTTTTTTTGGTTTTTTGTTCACTTTCCCCGAAGGCTGTGTGACCCGCCCTCCGCTTAATGTTAAAGTTACAATACAAGTATTTAAAAGAAGACAGAAAAAGGTTACACTTTAGGACCAAACTTTAAATACACTTTCAATTGGGGTTGCCCTTAAACTGTTTTCATAAATTAAAATAAACTAAATAAAACCTCCAGTGCTGCCAGAGATATAGTTTACTATATCGGAAGACCGATTCGTGTGTCAAAATAATACAATCTGATACAGGCACTCAGTCAAAAATTGCTTAGTAAGAATAAAAACACCAAAATTTAAATAAAATATATATTTTTAATTAATTATAATTGGATTTACTCTAAAAAAGTGGTTTCAATCAAATAAATAAATATAATTTAATATGTAGGAATATTTTGCTTACATCTCAATTATATTTATTTTAAGCAAGAAATATAGTTTAATGAAATAATGTTCATATTAGTCGTACAATTTTGTGTGACTTATAAACTATAAATCTGTATCTATAAATTGTATATTTTAAATCCAAATTTAAATATTCAAAGCTCAGGGTTGCTTCTTTTTCGATAATACCCACACGGGGAAAGGGTAACCAAATAAAGCACAGTACAGAAGCATACTGTCACCGGTAATTGTAACTACTAAGACAATACTAAAAGACAGAAAAGCAAAAAAAAAAAACAATAGCAATTTGTTGTCTTTATGCGTTGTTTTGCTGTACTTACTGGAGCATTACTAAAAAACGTTTAACGTTCCACGAGCCAACGGCAATTGACAGACCAGACGCCCCATACGGCACCGGGGGGTTTGACATTTAATAACAATAATCTCGAGAATAAGATTTACAACAAAAAAAAAGAAAGAAAAAAAGTAAAAAAAAAAAAACCATTTTAATTGCGAGTTTTCTTTTTGGTCGGTCTCTCGTCTATGATCTAAACAGAAGCCAAGCATGTCAGACATGCTCTTACATACATATATGTACATAAGTATACATATTTATGTACATACATATATTGTATTTAAAATATAAAAATCTCTACATGCAGCAGGCCAAGAAGATGAGGCACACATGTACCTGTTTTGTTTGGGCAAGTCAAGAAGTTAGTTCCAGGCCACCGGCCACACAACTTTTATTCGACTTTGAAAGCGAAAGTCCAGCAGATTTGATATTTACAACAATTTGCTTATGTCTCACATCAATTTTAAGCACTCCCAAATCAAAGTGATCATCAAAAAATAATCCTTTGGATATTTAATTGATCCAATTGTTGTTTTTAGAGCTACGTCAAGTGTATACCAAAGCTAAGGATATAAATAGGGCTTGAAAGACGGTAAAGGTAAACCCCTAAGGACAGGTTTTTCCAGGTGCCTAAAGAGATCTGGAGGCTCAAATGAATCTGGCCACAATTGAGATTACGAGAAGCGTAAAGCGTAATTCTCGCTGTCCCACATTACGGTTCGCTCTACACTTGTTTTTCCTCTCAAATGCCATTTCTCTTATTTTCAAATCTAATAAAAATATTCGTCTCGTGACAGTGGAAAATTTCCACGCGTTTCAGTACTAAAATTAGCAAAAATGAAATGTGTGTGGTTTGCAGTTCTTTAATAAGACTAGACAACAACAAAAAAACAAAACAATGTGAAATTGAAAATTGAAATATAGAATGATCCACGCTAAAAAGAAAGATTCAATGATAAAAATGTTTTGCAAGATTATAATTTTGTATGATGGCAGTTCATTGAGGATCAAATCCATTAGCAGCAGTTCAACGACATTTAATGAAAATTCCTCAACACACATTTTCTTCATTCAGCATTTCACATTTGCATACATTTCCCCTGGTGTTTTGACAGAATGATAAAGAGCTCGAAAATGTGAGAATAAAATAACAAAAAGTACGATATAGACGGATAGATATAGACAGACAGACAGAATTGATCGACGCACGATCCGACTCGTTGGCTGCCTGACCCAAAATGCGGTCTTGGCAAGGGCAATCAGCGTTTTGTGTTAGGCTGAAAATAAATATTATCCTCCCTCCTTGACTCACGAAAAATTAATTTTTTCAGTCATCAAAATTGTGCAAAATCACGGTACAATGTTCGATTCCAATTCACACAGAGCCACAAGCGAGTTATATTCCCCCGTATTCCCCCACATATTAATCCATATATTTTCTGTTCTCTTGTCAAGGTCAGGCCCGCCCCCACCTCCAGGGTCAGCATCATCATCATCATACCCATACCCATTCCCAATTAAATGTTTGCTCGTGTCTTCAAATAGTTGGCGTGTGTCTCTCAATATAAAGCCATGGAACGAGTGCTATGTATAGAAGAGAAGTCCCAGTCCCTCTCAATAGATTCTACTTTGTACTCGGCCCGCCAAGAGCCGTCGGTCGCGTTTGTGCATACATCTTTGCCTGTGCCTTTTTTCTTTTTCTTTAGCTTTACTTTATTTTTATTTAAATCAATCAATAATAAAACACACAAGTTAAACGATTCATTAAGAATGTCGCCGTTGTATCTTTGATAGAAGTAATTCGACTGCTCAATGCTCTCAGAATCACATTTATCATGGTGGATCAATCAATCAAACACCATTTTTGAAATTTATACTAAAGTTCACCATTCACTATTAATTTCCAGATTTATCTTTGGCTTATTTACAAATTTGTATTCACCAAAATTGAATAGGACCCATAGGAGCCAGCCCTAAGGATGTACATTATAAAGGTCTAAAGGTCTGTAGATGTTTCAGTATCTTTCGATGTATACGTATTATTTGTCGCATTCCGAAAAAATGTTGAGATCCCTCAAAGGAAGTTAGGAATTTTTAAAATCTATGAGATGCAAGGGATTCATGGAACGTGATATGTGGCATTAGCTTCTCCAAAGTTTCTTCAAAATTCTTCATTATTTTCATGGAAAATCGTTAAAGCAGCGCCACCTGACGGAATTCCTTTGCACAAACACAAACAAAACACAAGTGTGCGTGGAAGAGAGAACAAGAAAGAGTATGGGGGAGTGAGTGAGTGAATGAGTGTGTGTGGGAAGAGATGTTCAATGAAACGGTTTCTCATCAAACAGCTGATCGACAACCTGTTGGGGCCCACAGCCACAACCACGCCACGCCACGATCCCGCAATTAAACTTGGAAGAAAACGACTTGGGAATGCTTTTGTAATGAGGCAGAGGGAGATACAGAGGGTGGGATAGGGGGTGATACAGAGGGTGACACCGCGTCAAAGACAGAGGCAGCAACAGGTATAAGAAACCAGAAGGGTGAAATGCATAGATCTTCTGGCAAAATCGAAAAAAAAGTTTCATTGATGTGGGGTGTGGGAGAGCTGGGTTGGGGATGAACGCCAGCCGATCAACGATGATCAACCACCTTACCTCTACACAAAACGCCTGCCAGTTCTTTCCGTGGCATACAAGCGAAACGCGAATACGGCCAGGCCCAGCACGGCCGGCCTGCCACCGTACGGCCGGTCCGGCCGTCCCCATCGGTGTCGTCGTTGTCGTTGGCGTTGGCCCGTCAGTCTTGAAAATTTCGTGGAGCGATTAACACACACAGAACGCTGACGACGGTGAACGCACCGCATCCGCATCCCACCATCGCATCCGTTCCACAGGAGCCGTTGTCGCAGACGCAGCCGCAAAAACAAATTAATACAAAACCAAAAGCAGGCTCTAAAAATAAATCATTTAAATTAAGAAAGAACTTTGCCAAAATTGCGCCTTTCTTATTGCTCAACGTGTTGACTTTTTGTTGAGTGTTTTCTTGTTTCAAATACATATGTACATATGTATGTATGTGTATATTTTTTTCGGGTTTTTGTAAATACCACACGCCCCCCACACTCCATTCGTACGTTGACCGAGTTTTTTGACAACAACACAACAAACGCACAGCAGCAGCAACAGCAGCAGCAGCAGAGGCAGCAGCAACAACAACCAAATGGATGCAGAGGTGTGTAGAGTGCAATAATTGAAACTGTTAAAATTAAGAACAAGAACAAGATAAACAGTGTATGGTATTCTGGATACCCAGGCAAATCGAATAATTCAACAGCGGAAATATAAAAAAAACAGAGAGGCAGCTTTGGCTTAATTTATATAAGAAAAGAGGAACTGCTACACTTGTATACCCTTAAAAATTGAAACTATTATATGTTAACTCCTGACCGAAACAAGTGCATAACGAATATTTACATACATAAGTAAAATGCTAGGGTTTTTTAATAATGCTGATGTACATATGTACATATACATTTGTGTGTATACTCAATACTTCCTATCAAACATCTCTGCAAACGTATAATACTCTTCTACCCTAAAAAACACAACATCAAGAAAGAGTAAGACAAAGCAAGAACGAAAAAAGTGAAACCCAAATTAAACAACAGCAACAAGTGTTGGGTAGGTAGGCCGTAAGAAGTGCAAGAGAGAAGAGAGGAGTTGAGTGGAGTGGGAAGAGCCAATTTAAATCTCAACACATCTGGGAGTTTGTTGGAGTTTGTTATCTTTGATCACCTTCTTTTTTTTTGTTTGCGTTTCAACATAAAACAAAATCAGCCAAAAAATCAAAGGCACAAACTTCGTTTGCAATAACTAAATACAAAGTAAATAAATAAGTATTCAAGTGCAAAGTCAGCCGGCAATAGCAGCAGCGCAGCATTGCTGTCAGAACAAGAACAACTTCAGATCCACAACTGTGTGTGTGTGTGTGTGCGTCACCTGTTGCACATGTCAAGCAGAGGCGTCCACATGCAGGGGAGTGGTTTGAAGAGGGTGACTAAATATGAACAAGCATGAATGCGTGTGGGTATTCACTTTCCGAAAGCTGTTCTTTTGATGCCCTTAAAAATGATGGGACATAAACAAAAAAGCACAAGAGAGCAGCAAAGCAACCGGCTCCCAATTCAAAATGCAATTAACTTGTGAACTATTCCATTGCATGTCCCAATGGATCCCATTCCAATCCCAACATCCGTTTCAACGTAAAACTGCAATTCGATTATTGATTAAGTGGACATTTTTATTTGACTTCTTATCTTACAACTAGGTCTTTGGATTTATGGTTTGAGTTTCTTCCACTGGCCAGCTAAGTGATTATTGTGAATAGATAGATAGTGTACGATTTATTGTCCCCTTCCGCACTTGCGGCGCCACTGGCTTTTGCAAAGTTACGCCTGAGAGAACGGTTATTAAAATGAATGAAAATTCTCACACTTGTATGCACTTTGCTTTTGATCAAGGTCAGAGCTCTGATTCTCCAGACACCATCTCCCCCACCCACTGATGTACACCCATTGTAAAGATATTTATATTGTATGGGCATACTGTATGTGGCATACGTCAGTGCCACACCGAGAGTGCGGTGCTTGGGGGGTGGACAATACAAAAGCTTTGCCAATAAAAGCCAATCAAGGTTCTCTCACTCTCTCTAACAGATTTCCGGCAACATTTTTGTTGTAGTGCAGTGAACCCTCGAGAATGGGAACCCCCCTATAATCATGCCCCATGCCACTGGCACTGACCGACCAACGTCAAGAAACTTGTCGTGGCATGGAAAATTTTCCACTCAAAGACATTGAACTGAGTTGAAAATGAAAAGAAAAAAAAAAAACAACAAATAAAACACAGAAAGAGCAGAAGGAACATGCAGAGACTACAAATAAACTTCAGGGCATTTTGCCAAAGGCCTGCCATGGGTTAAGAGTTGGCGGGATGGATATAGCCACGTACCCGAAGGCTGCTCTATCTATCTATCTATCTATCTATGTATCTATCTAATGTTATCTATCATTAACTAAACCTATGAGCAGGCCCCATTCCTTTTCTTTAGAGTACTACCACAACAAAACTACAAATGCGAATAGTGCAAGGAATTCTCACTATTTACCCTACCTAGCCGCAGAGCTTTTATATAAATATAAATATTTACAAAATAAAAATGGTAAAGCTGTTAGGCCCTACGAATTTAAGTGGTTCCCCAAAAATAAGCATTAATATTCATATGTTTTTAATTATTTAATTTTCTCCAAATTTGATTAGTTTGAAACTGAAATCTTTTTTGAGAATACCATCTATTTCGAAATCCTTTTACTTAGGGGAAATTTGTATAATGTAATAGGATAAATTAACTGTCTCTACCGTAAATGCCAAGAATTAAGTGCTTCCCCCTAATCGTGATACCTTAGAATTCCTAGAGCATAACAATTAACAATTTATACTTTGTTTAAACTTTACGCTTTTGTTGCCGATAAGCGCAACAACAATACGAGCAACAAATCCAAATCGTTGTCTAGATTTACACAAGGTTTCGGGTGAGAACTACCAAGGGTGTCGGGGGAGTATCTGGAACACTCTGGCGCGCTCGACAGCACCATTCCATTCCGCAGAGCATTTTGACACTTCAGGGGCGCCTCTACGAGAGAGAGATTGCGTATACGACAGGTGGGACGTAATCTCAATGAGCCCCTCTCAGAGAATGCATGGGATGGCGGGGTTTGGGAAAGAGCTCTTTAGTTCTTTAATGATATGAAGCCGAAAAGTAAATCAGTTTGCGATAACTCTGTCAATATTTATGATTAATGATTGAAATGCACATATTCCCCGATTCCCGATGCCCGGTTCCTGGCAACAGAGATGCCCGCGGAATGACGACACTTTCGACACATGAATGACACCCGAATTGCCATTTACCCGCAGTGGTGGCAATATCTGGCGAGGTCGTAAATTAAATCCAGCTGAAATCTGGCGGGTGGGATTTTATAGTAAAATATATAGCCCACGATATCACTGTCGTAATTTCATTGTAGCCTTTGGCGTTATTCCTTTATTCCAAATAAGTTGAATGAACCGTATTGGGCTGGCTTCCGAGATATCAATTCTGTGAGCAAATTTTGTACAAAAATTGTACAAACAGATTCACGTGATTCATGACTCCCATAGAACACGTGCATAATGATTCATTCGTTGAGGAATGAAACGTGTGAAACGAAAAAATTAATGGTCCAACATCAGGGTCCTGCTGATTAGATCAAACGATTCGACGTAAGTGAGTTGAGCACGAACATGAGGGAATATGTAATATATTTACTGTTCTAAATTGATGAAACTAAACCATCCATCGACTGGAGTGCACTCTATGCGATTAGAAACCATCGAGAAATGACTGCCATTGAGATTAACAGGCACGTGCTATATGGGTACTTTCCGTAGTTCGTATCTGTATCGGGTATGTCTGTAAAGTGTCTTATGTCTGGATGATGTTTTGGCAATAGTTTCACCATCATTGAAAGGGGAAACAGCACTCTGAAAATACGACGGGTATAGTGATAGCGTTTCGCATTTATGAATCCAATTAGTTGGCCCTGATTTGATTTAGTTTCTCTCGCGTCATTAGAGAGCCATTCGGCAATCAGTTAGAGGCCCAGTTTATTGTCTAAATAAACACAAAAGCAAAGCGCAGACATACTCCAAATGGAATGCAATGGGAATTCCCTTTCGTTTCGTTTATATCGTGATTTATTACATTAATTGTTTTAGGCGGAAAAATACTTTAATGGAAAAATTATGCCACGATTTGATGTACCTTTTCTTTCTTTGTGCTCTCTGCCCCTACTGAAGCGACAATTGATTGGGTATCTCTAGGGATTTCCCGAGGATTGGTTCATCCATCTTCAGAGCGGAATTAAAAACTTGCCACTTGAATTAAAACCAACAGAAGCAGCTGCCAACAACACAGAAAACCAGCCACGAAAAACCAATTAAACATTGAACTAAAGATTGTGTTTTTTCCTCCTTCTTTCCATTACTGTTTTTTTTTTTTTAACTAAACCGAGAAGAGCACGTTCCAACAGAGTCCGAACCAGAATCGGAATCAGACCATGACAGGATCCATCCAGGAGGCTGTGGAGACAGGAAGAGGAGTCGCAGGTGGAGCAGTAGAAGTGGCAGAAAAATCCATACGAAAGCAACCCCAAGATGAGAACGAAGAGGAGTACCATCCGCCCACAAGGTATGGATAGCAAAAGAAGTCCAAACCCGAAAGCTAATCCTCCACGGAATCCTCTCCCACTAATAATTCCTTACACCAACTCCAAAAACCGAGAATAATCGAGAACCGATCCCACCACCAAAAACCCAAAGCTAACCAAAAACTAAACCAAAATACTCCCAGTACCTGTACCAAAACAAACAAAAAAAACTAACCCAAGCAAAAGTTCTGCAAAAAGCGAAAGAGATCAAAAACTCAGTTACTGCAAATGTATCCCTTTGCTTAGGGGAAATTTGTGGAACAGGAAAACGGGAAAAACTAACCTTTGATCTATGTGTATCCCACTTCAATGCTATCAATCAACATCAATTAACTCATAACAAAACTTGTCATATACTAATCCCAACGCACTAATGGAAGTGGAATCATCTACTCTACTCCTCTTCTTTGCTTTTGTGTCCTTTGTTAGAGGCTTGGGGCTAACATTTAAACTAGTTTAAGGAATGTTGTGCGTACTCTAACAAAACCCCATGGAAATACTAACCCACCAAAAACAAAAATACCATCGTTAACCGAATAACTGAATAACCGAATCAAAGGAAGAACCAAACTACAAACTGATGTGTGCTCCTGCCTGCTGTATTTTCAAGCTACCTGGAGACGATTGTGCACCTGTTCAAGGGCAACATTGGACCGGGTCTGTTTGCCATGGGCGATGCCTTCAAGAATGGCGGTTTGATTGTGGCACCGCTGCTGACAGTGGTGATTGCCGTTGTGTCCATCCACTGCCAGCATGTGCTCATAACCTGCTCCAAGAAGATGCGCGATCTGCGCGGCGATGCTGTGTGCGCTGACTATGCCCAGACGGTGGAGCTGTGCTTCGAGAACGGGCCAATGAAGCTGCGGGGCTGGTCGCGGACCATGGGCCGATTGGTGGACATTTTCATATGTGTGACACAGCTGGGCTTCTGCTGCATCTACTTTGTGTTCATCAGCACAAATGTGAAGCAGGTGAGTGGTGTGCATGGAGCAGGAGCACGAGCACGAGCATGAAGAGGATGAACAACCAGCTCAAATGTGTCCTGTCCTGTCCTTTCCTGAAGATCTTGCAAGCGTACGACATTGACATGGATGTGCATCTGGTGATGCTGCTGGCGTTTGTGCCCGTCCTACTGAGCTCCCTGATCACGAACCTCAAGTGGCTGACGCCCGTCTCGATGGTTGCCAATGTGTGCATGGTCCTGGGCCTGGCCATCACCCTCTACTACGCCCTGAAGGATGGACTGCCGGAGGTTAAGGAGCGCGCCTATTGGACCAGTGGCCCCCAGTTGGCTCTCTTCTTTGGCACCGCCATCTTTGCCTTTGAGGGCATTGCATTGGTGATGCCACTCAAGAATGCCATGCGCAAGCCCAGCCAATTCGAGAGCCGACTGGGTGTCCTCAATGTGGGCATGTTTCTGGTCTCCGTCATGTTCATGTTTGCCGGCTCCGTTGGCTATATGAAATGGGGCGAGGAGGTTGGCGGCAGTCTCACACTCAATCTGGGTGATACCATGTGAGTGTTGACGACAGTTCATCCTGTTGGCACACTTTGTGACTTCTTCTACCATCATTCCATTCCTGCTTTCACAGTCTGGCCCAGGCCGTCAAGCTGATGGTCTCCACGGGCGTACTCTTGGGCTATCCCCTGCAGTTTTTCGTTGCCATTCAGATCATGTGGCCCAATGCCAAGCAATTGTGCGGCATCTCGGGCCGCTCGCTGGTCGGTGAGCTCTCCTTTCGCACCATTTTGGTGATCCTAACGCGTAAGTATTCCATCCCCTACCCCTCCCCAGATGTTATTCCTTTTCTGCAGCACTAATATCTCTCTCTAATGTCGGCTAGTGGCCATTGCTGAGATGGTGCCCGCATTGGGTTTGTTCATCTCTCTGATTGGAGCATTGTGCTCGACGGCACTGGCCCTGGTCTTTCCTCCTGTCATCGAGCTGATTGCCAGCAGTGAGGCAAACAAGGGACCCGGCCTGTTTGTCTGCACCAAGAATCTCATTATACTGGTTGTGGCACTTCTGGGCTTCTTCACGGGCTCCTATGAGAGTCTGAAGCAGATTGTCAATCACTTTGGCGAGATGAATGGTTGACAGAGCTAATGAGGATCGTCACCATCAAGAGGATAACCATAAAGGTCCAGCACAGCATTATGCACCATTCAAAAGGGATCAAAGTAACATCAATAAAGCACCATCCACGAGGATGTCGGGATCATCACAGTTTCTTATTAAGGGATCATCGAAGATGACTGTTAGAGGACTCATTAGGTGACTCTTTGAAGGATCATCATCAAAGAATCAGAGAGAGACCATCAAAGAATCATCACAAAAACATCAGCAAGCAAGCATCACAGTATCCTAGGAACGATATCCACCTTATATGTAATCAAGACAATAACAACAGCAAAAACAATACTATTAAATATAAATTTATATAAATATATAGGCATTTATGCAACGAAAAACTACAACTGGTCGATAGAACCAACATACCTTCATATACTCGTACACACTCGGAGTTTATGAGATTGCCTTAGCCTTAGCCCTAGTGCCCCTCTTTTCATGTATTTTTGTGAGCGTATTTTACTTATTATAATTGATTCTTTAACTCTTATATTTTTTAATATTTTTTTGAATAGGCATTAAGTGAAAAAATAAACGTTGCGACGCTTTGTTTTGACGTCAGCGCAAAATGACAAGAAAATAACAAATGTGTTGGTCTTGCTCTTAAAATTGTAATACATATACATAAATGTGCTCGAAGTGGATGTATGTACACACGTAACGTTACCCATTAAGTATATATTTTCTTGATCAGCATCAATAACGGAGTCGATAAAGTCATGGCTGTTCGTCCGTCTGTCCGTCCGTCTGTCCGTCTGTCCATTCGTCCGTCTTGTTTGTCAGCTCAGTTTTTCTCAGAGAACTACACTTGAAGTGTACTTCAAAATTTCGAGTCTACTCGCATATTGAACACTCAAGCAAATATTAAATTTATGACTCAGAAAGCGTTCGCCGAACAGGTTATAAAATAGCGACTCGGGCGACGAATACTAAACAACCTGTGAAACGGGTTCAACGAAATTTAATAGAATTTAATTTGACAGAGATTAAAATAGTTGATGTTGAAGCATCATACATTAGCATTAACATTGACCCCAATACGCGCTATCCAGATAGAAGCGAGAGACGCTTGACAAATTAACAAATTAGATGATCGATAGATGTGCCAGAGTTCTAGCAAGTAGCTTTCGCTTTCCCTCTACAATGGGAAGGCGTGTTTGGGCTAAGTAATCCACACTCTCGCACTCTCTTTTCTCTGTGTCTGTTTGTGTTTCATGGAATTACACTAATCTAATCCGAATCAATCTAATCTAAACCTGTTTTTCCCTTGCCCCAACAGGCAGTCTTTAGCCTTCAAAACGATTCATGAAACAATGAATGGAGCTGCAGTCGATGCCGTTAGATATGCATAGGCGGAAGTCAGGGGCGTCATTCAAAGGGAATATATGTACATATGTAGAAAACATTTAGCAGTTTCGTGGACTTTCGTCCAAAAACGCGTATGACCGCGCCTCACAGCGTTCCTCCTTTTTTATAATATTTGTACATTTCCTATCAATGAAATTCGAATACGGACTAGAGTGGAACAGAAGCTACAGATCATTAAAAGACTTTGACAATGCCCCTTGACTATGCCCCTGTTCGTTGTTATGCATTTGGTTGTATGCCTTATATAATCCAATTGCTGAATTCCGTAAACATCGATCGCATCGATCGCATCGAGGGCTCGATTGATTGGAAGAAGTGAGAACGATAGAAAGAGATGCAGCGCAGAGCAGAGCACAAATATGCAATTCATTTAAGTGGCGCTTGCACCGAGCCCCAAATAAAACGTTTCCTCCAATCGATTCGGGTAAATTTCCATGCGTTTCATGCTATGTAGGGAGGGGAGAGGAGCAGCAGGTGCAACAGCAACAATCATAAAACGTGCGCTGGGTCGACTGACCCACAGAGCGACCCACCCACCGATTGGTCGATCATCCAAAAACGCGAAACGAGCAAGAATTCAAAATTTGCCAATACGACAATGGGCACGTGCATTGAAAAAAACCGATTCCGGTACGCCAGCGGATCCTTGAACCTGTTCGAGCCACTTCCTGCTGGCTGGCTGTTTCAATTCAGTGCCCCAATGTCGTGACGCAATCAACGTTATACTCGTCCATTCGTACCTATTTTGAACTAAACTTTGAATGAATGCTGACACAAGCAATTCCGAGATTCTATTTATCCATAAGTGTGTGTTCTGTCTGGAGTTATTTGAAATATGATTGTTGTTTAGTAAAAATAATACGTTCACGAGTTGTAATAAAATTAACTACTTGCATAGCTGAGCGTAGATATTTTTACAGAGCTGCAAGCCAACGAGCAATTCATTTTGTGCACTGCCATCAGTTAAAGCCACAGCTACGGGGGATTTTTCCATTTCGATTGTTCATTGTCGGGGAGCTGGAGCTTCGAATACAAACTGCTTTTAGCAATTAACATATTTTGCATGGTACAATTAAAATTAAATCATTAAGGTTGTGGGAGTTGTTGTTTTTTTATAGGTTTCCTTAGCTTGAGTAGATACGTAGATCAGATACAGCTGGAGCTTTTGGTTGCAGAGTATTTACATCAGTTCACATTCGAATGACTTTGATACCCATAAGAAAACGAACAGCATTGACCATTCACCACTAGGGACAGGGACTGGAGAATTTCTAAGATGCAAGTACCAACTAGAAAATCCAGTTTCTTGTTCCTTTGTCTTGGGTTTCTAACGACTATTTTTCCTACTTCTTTACCATGTTCTTATTCATCTGCAAAATATGGCAAATCTGTTGAATATTGTATGGGGTTAATACCATTTGTTTCTTTCAGTGTAGATTAGTCATATTTTAAGTAATAATATTGAAGAGCTTTTAAGCCTATTTAAACTGTCATTGATCCATATCGTGTGCTGATCGTTTATCGATTCACTGCATCCATGCTATTTGCATGCTCTCCCTCACTTCTCTTTTTGCACATTCCCTTCCCCAAGCCCCTTCGTTCGTAAGAGAATGCACTTGGATCTATCAGCTCTTTTCGGTAAGCAGTTTAAGGGAAGACAATTGTTATGTTTGTGCTCTGCTCCCTTTCTAACTTTCCCTTCCCCCCTTGCACATTAACCGTTACATGTATTTTTGCATTGCTTAGACACACACGCACATTAAGAGAAAACAACAAAGTAGACACACACACACACACACACAATGGCATGCATACATACATATGTATGTCGAGTGCTGCTGTTTGACTTTTTTTGTTGTTTAGCTTGACGCCGGGGGCCCCAAACCGATTTTGTTGGCCAACTCGAGCATTGAGTCTGGTTTGAGTTCTTGCCGCGCACGGTTCTACAATCGCCGGGAGAAAACCCCCACATATGTACGTTGGTTTAATTACTTGTACTCGTGCTCGCACTCTACGTAATCGTCAGTTGCCGTAATTTCCCTTCATTGATCTGGCCAATTGAAAGGTGAAAATTTAATTTGAGACAACTATGGCACTTCGATTCCGATCGATGCTTATCTGTGATTCGACCACAATGTAGAGGCTATGGCTTATCAGACTGCAATGGCACGATATTGATGGACTATGTTATTTGGTTTGGCTTAGTTCATATTAGTGATTTACGACTACAGCCCCCACTGAATATGTGAAAATTGCGTCATTGTGCATTAAAGCAACAATTAACTTAAGGTGATTTTCGGGGGAGTTGAATAACCGGAATTAGCTGAAAACTTTTAATTAATTTTTAATGATTTAGCAAAAACTACCTTGAATGGCTCGGGGAGTCACAGTTAATGCGCCTTCTTTACTGGTCACCATTTGTTTGATTTACTTTCAAATATTTTTGTATTTCAATGATTCCACCCATTTGCCTAACGTAGGGTTAATGGATAGTGCAAGAAAAATGTAGGGTGTTAAATGTGATGGAGAGAGCGAAGATTAACAGCTCATCTGTTTATTGTCCCTTGCTCTCTCATTGGATTTGTTCTCCGTCCGCTGGTAACATCCTCTCTTAACAGACTTCCTTCTCTCTCCCACTTGTGAGACATGTGCTTTAAAGAACCGTTAGATTAGTTCTGCTCTCCCCTCATCTCACACAATAGCCGATGCAGAAGCAGCAGAGAAAGAAGAGGGCGGAATATAAGTTGAAAACAACTTGCAATTGCATTTAAAACTCCCTCCGTCTCCATCTCCTATCCATACACAGCAAGAGCAGCAGCAGAGCGTCAGCGAACAGAAGGCCATAGAAGCTGGCGAAATGGGCAGAACACTGGAGATAACTCCGGTAACGGTAACGGCAACGGCAAATGGAGACCATACGATGGAGAAACAGACAACGGATGTGGAGGGCAACAGTAGCCAGGTGAAGAGGCGTCATGCCACCAGCAATTTGGAAGCAGCCACACATTTGTTTAAGGGCAGCGTGGGTGCCGGTCTATTTGCGATGGGCGATTGTTTCAAGAATGGCGGACTGGCGGGCGCCACCATCTTGCTGCCGATCATTGCCGTAATGTGTGTCCACTGCGAAAGGATGCTGATACGTGGCTCCGTGCTGGCCGTAGAACGGACGCCGGGCGCCACCTTTTTCGATTACCCAGAGACGGTGGAAAAATGCTTCGAATATGGGCCGCGTCCCCTGCGTCGCATGTCGCGCATTATGAAGCTCATTGTCGAGATGTTTCTGTGCGTCACACAATTCGGCTTCTGCGCCATTTACTTTGTCTTCATCACCGAGAATTTGCATCAGGTGAGTCCCACGTCCACAGGCTGCGATAAGTGCATATGAAAGTTGGGGCTTACCCATAAAATAATCCCTTTCCTTCCCTTTGATGCAGGTGCTACAGCAGAATGGAGTGGACATTAGTATGAGCATGGTGATGCTTATCACCCTGCTGCCCGCCATGATTCCCTCGCTGATGACCAATCTCAAGTACATCTCACCGGTGTCCGCGTTTGCAAATGTGGCATTGCTGTTTGGCCTGATTGCCACACTGTCCATAGCCTTTTCGGACGGACCGATGCCAGCGGTGGGCGATCGGAATTTGTTCACCAGTGGGTCCCAGCTTTCGCTTTTCTTTGGCACAGCCCTCTTCTCGTATGAGGGCATTGCGCTCATCCTACCACTGCGCAATTCAATGCGACAGCCGGAGAACTTTAGCAGCCGCTTTGGCGTACTCAACTCCACCATGTTCTTCACCACGGGCCTGTTCATCTTCACGGGCTTCGTCAGCTATGTGCGCTGGGGCGAGGATGTGGCCGGCAGCATTACCCTCAATCTCGTTGTGGAGGATGTGTAAGTTCTGCTCAAAGCGGGTAAAATCTGTAACTTTATTTATATTATTCTGCGTATGTTCCTCGCATAGCTTGTCGCAGGTGGTGAAGGTTGTGGCCGCGTTGGGCGTATTTCTTGGCTATCCCATACAGTTCTTTGTCATGATGAAAATTCTCTGGCCGCCTCTGAAGCGATCCAATAGCTGTGCCCAAAAGTACCCCATCAGCATGCAGGTGGTCCTGCGCTTTTTTATGGTCATGATGACATGTAAGTAACAATTTGTCTGTCCACCTGACTCCGGCCAAGTCTTACATTTGTTTTGCATATTGATTTTCCAGTTGGTGTTGCTCTGGTGGTGCCCCAACTGAATCTATTCATCTCGCTCATCGGAGCACTCTGCTCGACGTGCCTGGCCTTTGTTATACCGGTGCTCATTGATTTTGTGGTACGTGCCCAGGTGCCCAAGGGCCTGGGGCACTGGTCATATGCAAAGAATTTACTTATTTTGGCCGTGGCACTGCTGGGCATTGTCACTGGCACATATCAAAGCATTGTGGAGATTATAAGAGAGTTTAAGTAGGTACAATTTCGTTGTCAAGTATTTTTTTTTATGTAAATAATGCTGTAATTTGTATCTGTATTAGGGGTATGCGCTGTAATGTTGTACATTTTGTTTAGTCCTAAGTCTTATTCCTATGCAATGTGTTTTTTTTCCATTTTTTGTTTATTTATAGTTATAAGCTGTGCATTTTTTTGTTCGTTTTGTTAATTGGCTCCTTATTGGGGAGAAACAAAAAATGATCTACAAGAGAAAATAATTTTAATAAATGATTACGAACCGTGCATTGTTGGCCCTCTGTTAAATTTGGCGGTCTTAGCGCCGTCGTGTTTTGCAGCACTGGAAACTGCCCACACTTATCGGTGGTATCAAAATATTTGGTATTTTATTAGTATTTTAACAAGTCTCAAATATAACAGTCAAGATAGTCGCATGACGTATGCTTCTTACATACGTCCTACATTCCTGGCGCTGATAAACTCTTATCCATAAAGCGCTTCTTGGCAAAGCATATCCACCATTTGCTGGGCTTATCGTCGGGAGTGTCAAAGACCTTTTCCAGCAAACGATTACCGGTCTCCTGACGCAACTGCAGCAAATACTGACGCATCAGCTCCGGCTCATTAGTCTTCACAAAGACCGAGTTCAGCGGAAAACCAGCATCGCCCGGTAGATCAAATTTTGAGATGGCCAGACTGTAGAGCTCCTGCTGTCCCTGACTCTTGTTGGTGCATCGGGCCAATCGCTTCAGGCATTCCGTTATGTAGAGCGTTACATAGATAAGAACCCGGTCCACTTCCGACTGCGATTAGATATGAATTAGTATGTGTTTTTTTTTTCGGGGTTCTCTTTTCTGTCTGATGTGGGTAGGGTGTGCACAAACCTTCACTTCGTATTCGCGAAAGAAAACGTTCGATTTGAAGTAATATAGTGACTCATCAATGATGTCGTTATCATCCGAATAACTGGGTGCTGGTCCTCGCACTTGGGTGCGTAGCGGCAATATAGCCATATTCCCCACCGTCTTGTGGAACTCTTCGATCTCTGAGTGATATGCCTTGTAAAATATATGTAAACAAACAAGTTTTATGGTTTTTTTAGCTAACAAATTGAAATATAATTTGCTGGAAGCCCATCTTACAGTTTCGTGAACTCAAATCCTGCCCTAGGATCTATGAGCCTGACGAAATGCTTACCATTGAAAGACTTTGGGAACTCCACAAACCGCAAATATCTCGTGAATCAAAGTTATTTTCCTAATGCCAGTAATCGCTAGTGCTGTGAAGTGTATCAGTTTTCAAAGTTTCAGTATTTTTTCACAGCACAGTATGTACCATGACATGTTGGTATTTCTTGTGGCTTTTAAGATTAGACACAGCTTGACTTTATTTGATGTACATATATCGGTAAACTGACAAAATAACGCGCTATGCTCTTCCGTTCTGTAAATGGCTGGCCATATTTTGGCGCCACACATCAGGGTGACCATTTAGGGTATATTTTATACTTTTCAAGACATTTTACAATATTGCCCATACAAGCAACAAGCGGTCAAAGACGTTACATTCGATTCCCATTCGCGTAACGTTTTATGCTATATTTTGGTAAGCCTTTTTAGTTTGATCCAAAAAATCCAACAAAAGGCCAAACAAAAATCATGAAAACTAGAGAATATTATGCAAAATTGATTGATAAGTCGGATAAAAGTACTGTTTTAGCTCTGAGAATCCTAACTTGCTAGTAAAATTAAATGGAACTTAAAAATTAAGGAAAATTATCTAAGAATTGCAGCCCTGGAATTTTTTGTGACGTTTTAGCTGTCATCGACACCTTAATTTGTCTCACCATTGAAAGCTTCATTTGAAATTTGTAAACAAACAATGGCCAATAATCGTGTTCGTATTGTTATTGTCGGCGATTCAGGTATTTATTTATACTACATTACTACATATACTACATTTGATTAACTTATTGATGTAATGCCCTTGCATAGGGGTGGGAAAGACCTGCCTGACCCATCTGATTGCCCACAATGAGTCGCTGGCACGTCCCGGCTGGACGGTGGGCTGCAACATCCAAGTGAAGATTCATGAGTTCAAGGAAGGCACGGCCCACCAGAGCCAGTATTTCGTGGAGCTCTTCGATATTGGCGGCTCACTGAACCACAAGAACACTCGCGGCGTCTTCTATTCTGGTGTGCATGGCATTATCTTGGTGCATGATCTGACGAATGGCAAGTCGCAGGAGCAGCTGCTCGACTGGCTGCACGAGATCCTCAACAAGGAGGGCAAGGACACTTACAAGTCGCGTGCCAGCTCAATGCCGCCATCCCCATTGGCCAACTATTCCACAGACTCCTGCTTCCACGTTCGTTTCGACTTGGAGGAGTTCCTGGGCGCCACACAAACGCCCATTCTGGTGATGGGCACCAAGCTCGACCTGATTGATGAGAAGCGTCAACCCAAGACCGCTCTAAAAAAAGCTGGTGGCATAGGTACCTCATCTTACCACCCCTCTAGCCCCCTTTCAAATATTCCCTTGGTTTTTTCCCCAGCTGACAAATGCGGCGCCGAAGAGATTTGGCTGAATTGCAGGGACACACGCAGTCTGGCCGCCGGCACCACAGATGCCGTGAAGCTATCGCGCTTCTTTGACTGTGTGATCGAGAAGCGTGAATCCGCTGGCAGCTCTTGCTCTCATTACTATGGTGGGTCTGCAGCAGGAGCGACAGACAGACGTCGTCCGCTCAGCATGGCCACACAGGCCGCAGAGTACGCGCTGTATGGCAGCAGCAGCGGCTCCATGGATGCAGCCCGAGCTGTGCCGCTGCTAGAGACCAGCGACCTCAAGTGAATGCAATAAATGGAATGCGCACACTTTATTTTGTAAATATTTGAATAGTCAAAAAATATAAACAACATTCATCGATGGCATTTAGCTCATTTTGTATCGTCTTTATACATTCTAAGGTGTATTTTCATTCTACTTTGTTTTGTTTGTAAAAATATAAAACGATGAAAATGATCTGCGCAGTGTCGCTGCTGCTTCCTCAGTTATGCGAGTATTTTGTTTACATAAATGTTACCTTTATGTTAAAGTACATAGAAAGTACATAGGTTTTAAAGAATTATTAAATGAGTTAAAATTAATTTAACGTTGCTCTTGCAGAGACAATCAAGGACTTGCGAATGTTTCACGGAAACAATAATTGTTTTGTTCTCCTGCTACACTTGGGTCAATCCTGGGTTAGATCTTAGGTCTCGCCCTTCATTAGGGTACGATACCAGTCGGGTATTATTTGAACATCGGGTGAATCGAGTACACGAGAAAAGACGCTATCCGAGTGGGGAAGGAATTCGTATTCGACCACAATATGTGGATTATCGATGGACTCGAGCGTTTTCTTTATCTCTTGGAGTAATTGCTCCAGGAATACGAACATGGCCGCTGGACTCCAGGGCTTGTTGCGTGCCAGCTGTGAGACATCGCGTTTGTCAATGTCATGGCACAGGCCGTCATTGTCGCGCAATCCGACCATAATGGTGTTGATGCCAACCAGAAATGATTGACTCCACCAGTTGCGAGACTTACAATAATCAAATGAACGATTCTGCCTGTCATTGGGCTCAAAGGGTCCCGTCTTCAGCTCCACAAACTGTAGATTCCTGAGTTCGTGCGGCTCATTAAAATTGCTGCAAATATTTGAATGTGTAAACATACTAAATGGCTGCGAATATTACTAATATTTGAAAACTTACACAGGTTCCTTGCTTATGATGCCATCCATTTCGGCGCCATACATCAAACGGATTCCGTTCAGGGAGCAGCGAAACATTGCACTAAACTCCTCGCCCTCGTTCACGGGGAGACTTGTGTCGGGAAGAGTGTTGGGCGCTGTCGACAGCATGTACTGCTCGAACTTGAAGCCCCACGAGCACATGGCCTTGGCATGCTCGGTACTGTTTAGGTTTTCCTGACGCTGCTTTTCGGTCACCACTTTGGCAATGTAAATGGTGCCATTAAGCCTGGTGGCACGCACGTAAAAAGCATCCCGCGTCTCGTACGGCATGCACAGGAGCATACGCAGCACGCCGCGACAACAGACAAAGTCGGCGCGCAATGAGAGCGATTTAGAGGGTTCGGAGAGTGTCAGCAGCTGCTGATGGTTGTAAATGTACTTCAGCAGGTTTTCCAGATCTTTAACTCCCGATTGTTCTTTCTTGCGTATGACACGCTCATAGCCGGCCTTTAGATCCATGGGAAAGGAGTCCACGGGTGGCAGGCACAGGTAGCTGGCACCATTTGCATTATCCTCAAACTCCTGCTGGGCGTTGACGCTGAAGAACCCGAAGCATTCCGGGATACTGAATCTGGGAAATGCGTATCTGTGCCCACTCTTCTGCAGACGCCGGTTGATGTTAACACGTTGCTTTGTATGGTTCTGGCGTGGTTGCGACATTTTGCTATTTAAGTTAATATTTTGGTTTTGGCCGCCGCCACACGTAAATGTCAAGACCACAAAACAGTGTGACCGCGGAATTATACCGAAATATACGTTTTACTTTACAAAATATACCGCAAATATACCGGGGTAAATCATAATGGGTATATTCGAATTAATAAAACTAAACTCCATTCGTAGATTTGTTGATAAAAATGCAACCACGTCAATGCATTGTCATAAATAGGCGCTCCGCCATAGCGCTGATCGTTATATTCGTGTTGAATGGCATCAAGAACAGCGAGACGGCCAGCGGTGGCAACCAAATGGATTTATCCGATGCAAAGGGCGATCACAAGGACAACAGCAACGCCAGCAATAATAATAATAATAATAACAATGACAACGAGGTATTTATGCCCGCGCTGGGCAATATGGTTTCAAAAGCATCCACCGACAACATAACCACCTACACCAGCAGCAGCAGCAACAACAACAACAACAACATGCTTTGTCCATTCGATAGGGAGACGCCCTGCGACAAACTGCAGTTCCCCTGCATACGATGCAGCTACAATTATGGCTGCTACTACGGACGCGAGTTGAACGTCACCTGCGAGGCCATCACCAATGTGCAGTGCCAGGGCGAGCGAACGTTTCAGCGCCAGATGAGCTGCCGCTACTGCTACCAGACGGAGCTCTGGCAGCAGAGCTGCTTGCAGCGTGCAAATTGCAATAAATTCTATCGCACCAATTGCACCGTCCACCAGGATGTGCTCTGCCTGGGCAATCGCTCGTTTACGCGCAATCTAAAATGCAACTGGACGCAGGGCTATCGCTGGAGCACAGCGCTCCTGATAAGCCTCACACTGGGCGGCTTTGGTGCAGATCGCTTCTACTTGGGCCACTGGCAGGAGGGCATTGGCAAGCTGTTCAGCTTCGGTGGCCTCGGCGTTTGGACCATCATCGACGTTCTGCTCATTTCAATGCACTATCTGGGCCCAGCCGATGGCTCTCTCTATATTTAGGATAACTCTGTGATAGGTTTAAGGACTGTTAGCATAGAATATAAGAAGCACATTTATTGCTTAACAATACAACAATGACTCGAGACTATGCCTCTACTGTTGTCGTCCCAGATGGTGGCTCACAACTGGCAGCCACATCGTCATCGGTGTCATCGAATTTTGTGTGCTTGGCCAACATTTTGGAGACCTTCTCGCGGCCACGTTTCTGCTGTACGCGCACCTTTTTGGTGAGCTTTGCCTCGCGATCTTGTTCGATTTTGCGCCAGTACAGCGTCTCCGCCTGGCCATCGAGCACCTTTAGCTGCCGCTCGGCACAGCTCAGCTGGCGCACCAGCTCCTCGGCGGCTGTGGGTGTGGCCATGCGCAATGTGGCGGCCAGATCACCCTCCTTAATGTCCACATACTTGATGTCCGTATACTGGCGCATATCTGCCTTGAACTCCTTGATATTGGTGCACGGCTCGTGCAGTACACACTCGACAATCAGTCCCGGCTCGTACTTGAACAGCGGCGTGCGCTCCTGGGAGGGGTCCTCGGTGCGAACGGCACTGCGACTGTCCTCGGTCTCACCGCCGCCGGCACCATAGAAATTCATGTTCATTTTATGCACTGCCTTGCGACGCTTCGGCGGCACGGGCACGCTTGTCTCTGTCCCTCCAACGACATCATCGACATCGCTCAGCGGCTCACACTCCTCACCGTTGTCAGCCTTGTTGTGCTGCTCCGAATGCTGTTGCCCGCCTGCTGCCGCCTGCATGGGTGTGCGCTTGCGTGGCTGATTGGGATCCAGCTGCTGCTGCTGCGACTCGCGCCACAACTTTGCCTTCGCCTCGCTGACCAGGCGACGCTGCAGATTCAGATATTTGTTGCGCAGACTGCACCAGCTGGCCTTGGGCAGCACCTTCAGCTCAATGGCCGTGGGATCAATGTTTGGCTTGTCTATGATTGCCTTCTTCTTGCGCTTGCGGCGACGCTTCTTTGCCTCGTCAGCGTCAGCATCCGCAATAGTCTCGCCCTTGCCATCGCCAGCTGGTTGTTCATCATGGGAGGACGCCTCCTCTTGCTGCTCCGGCGCTGATGCGGCTGCCTCCTGGTCCTCCGATTCACTTGCTGTCTCCTCGGCCGTGGATGTGTCGCTGGGCTGCTGTTCCAGCTTGACGCGCTTTACATCATGATGATGGCTCTCCTCCTTGGCTTCTCTCTTGCGACCCCGCTTCGTGCCGCCATCCTCCAGCGGTGCATCAACATTTTTCTCCTGCTGCTGCTGTTGCTGGAATGAGCGAACGCTGGCCAAAACGGCTGGGTCTGTGTCGAGGGAGAGTACACCCTGAACCTGAGCAAAAGCTTTGACCGCCTTCTCCAGGGCCGTGCTGCGCTCGAACTCGATGAAGGCAAACTCCTTGATCTTCTTAGTGCCCGGATAGTGTGGCAGCGATACATAGGCCACAGGGCCGTACCGACTAAAGACCTCCTTCAGCCAATCGTGGCTGGCATTGGCCGGCAATGCCTCCACATAGAGCGTCTTGTCATTGACATCCCGCTGGTCGGGCAGCTTGGTCTTGCGGCGCACCTTCAGGCGGCTCTCATCCAACTCCAGCAGTTGGGAATTGTTCAGTGCCTTGGCTATCTGCATCACATCCTGGGCGAGGGGTTTAATTTTGTTGAACGTCAGAAAGATCTCCAGGGGAACGTCTGTGAAGAGTTTTTCAAATCAAAACTGGAATGAGGCTTGGCTGTGGTGGGGCATCACTTACATGGATCCTGGTCCACGTAGCGCCGCAGGAAGCGATCCTTAGTTAGATTTGCGTCTCCGAAATAAAACTCCATTTGGCTGCGAATGGAATTATACAAATGTCGTTTACGTTTGCGGCCACCAGCGGCGGCGGCATCTCTTTTTGCCGGATCATTCGACTCTGCATCGGTTTCCTTTGCATCCATCGGTTCCATTTGATCCTTGGTGGCGGCTTTCTCTTGCTCCTGCCCCTCGTCCTTATCACTGGCTGTGGCGGCTTTGGCTGCCATTAAATGCAATTACAAATCAAATTTTGTATGCGAATTATTATTTTGGTTGTAGCCGGCTCTTGGCATTGCCGTATCAGCGGGAAACTCAGTTGAGTTTGACACACGGTCTGGCAACGTAGCGCAGCTGTCAATTGTTTTGGCGGGCACAAACAAATGCCATAGCTGTGTGTGTTAGTGTTGTTGTGTTGTATGTGTTGTACAGTGCACAACAAATATCAAACATAAAAAGGATTATAGTTAATCAAACCAATTAGCCTAACTCGCATGTAACTTAGGTGATAGTTAGCTAATGTGTTGCGACTAAAAGTGAATTGTGACCGAAATCGTAAAATACAGAATAGTTTTTCGTTTGTCTGCGTTCGCGACGCGGGGCCAAGGCGAATGGCAAGCCAAGCGCTGAGAGCCGAAGAAGAAGCATCCAAAACCCAAACAAGCGTTTATTTAATGCATTGCCCGAAACGAAGAATACTTTAAGAGTGTTGCAAACATGTGCCGCTGAGCAGTAGAAATGGAATCAATAGTTTTACACTCGGATGTAGCTCGTCTGGTATTGGGTAAGTGTCGCTGCTGCTGCTTCGAATTTCCCATTAAAAAAAAACAAAGAAAACACTTGTAATTCTGTTGTTGCATTTCGTTTGGGGTTCGGTTTCTTCCAGGTTATCTGGTGAATCAGGATCTGAAAAGAGCCGCTCACACCCTGTGCCGCACATCGCCGCATTTACGTCACGAATTCGTTGCCCTCAAGCAGGGCCTGCAGCCGCACAACTTTCTCAATGGCGGCCTGGAGGACATCATCTGCGAGCATGTCAAGATCACTGGATTGGGTAAGTGCAAACAGCAATCTGTTCTCCCTGCGGGCTAACAATCGTTTATGCTCCCCTTTAGTGGCACACGCGGTGCAGAAGCTGCCACTGAAGCTGCGCCAGCAGTTGCAGCAGCTCAAGCTCTCCGAGCGTGTCATTCAGCTGATGGGCATGGATCGCAGCAAGTCAGCAGCAGGAGCAGCAGCAGACAGCACACCCAGCCATGCCAACAGTCAAGCGCAACGCAAGCGGCGACGAATGTAACTAGAGACCGACCCCGTCCCCGGCTGCGGTTTCCTCAAATTTCAACTGGCAAATGTTTCATTTCAGACGAACACAATCGCCTGCACCTTCGTCACCATCGCCCACATTAGGCAAGCGTCCACGCCTGCTGCCGCCCTATATTTCTTGCAGCCACAACCGCGACAACTCGCACATGAGCAGCTTTCTGGCGTGCCAAGGAGACGACGACGATGAAGAGCAGGAGGAGGAGAATGAAGAGCAGGAGGAGCTGGAGGGTGATAGCAGCACAGCAAGCGAGGATATGGAAGAGCAACGAATGCCGCTAGAGCCGTGCAACAATTCCACGCCACGTCAAAAGAAGGACGAACCGGAGCTGGAGCCCGAACCCGATCCTCAGCTACAGCTAATGCTGGCGCCACAATCAATGCCCGTAAGTTGGAGCAAGTAATCTCTGGCTAACAATCAATGAAATCTCTTCCATTCCGTGCAGGAGCTGACAACGGCCATTATCAATAATCCCGATTTCCGTGAGACTCTGGTGAACAACATCAATGTGGCACTGCAAACGGTGACGGTGCACAATCCCATAGTTAGCTGTGACGCCATACTGGATGGCCTGGTGCGGAATATACTGGAGGCAACCGAGAAGGATCCCTCATTCGATCGCATCATCCAAGAGGTTGTGGCTGCCGATCAGCCACAAGCAGCTCAAGGCACAGAGAAGGCAGCACCAATCGAGCCAGTGGCAGAGGCAGAGTCAGCGGCAGAGATTCAGCAAGAACCACCACAAACGCCGCTCATAATACGCACCGCAGTGGCGGCCAATGCCAGTGACGATCCAAACTTCTCCATCTCCAAGCTGATTGTTTTCAACTCCAATGAGAGTGTCCAAAAGATGGTTGCCTCCTCCAATGTGAGCTTTGCCAGTGAGAATCTAAATCTAAACTTTGATCCGGCTGTCATGCTGACCGAGGCAGAGGCAGAGGCTGCCGCTGCGGGTCAAGTGTGCGTGGATGCCACAACCGGACAGCTGACCTTTCCCATGTTCTACTCGAACGGTGGCATGCTGTCGCATTTGCCATTTCTGGTGAACAACGAGTGGGTGGCCCAGCATCTGGGTCCCGATGCGTTTGCCAATGCTGAGGATTCGCACATAGAAATATCCCTGCCAGAGCCAATCACATTTACGGCTGATCAGCTGCCGCCGAATGCGATAATCATCAACAGTGCCCAAAAGCAGCCGCCCAGTCAGCTAATCGACGAAGCAGCCACGAGTGGGAGTGGGAGTGGGAGTGCAGTGCTGCTGCCCGATATAGAGGAGCAGCCAGAAGCAACTGCAGCTGCAGCACCTGCCGCAGTGGAAGAGGATCCCAAGCAGGAGCCTCTGGCCATACCACCCGCTTCGTTGGACTCCTCCCGCATGGTCATTGAACGGGCCACACCCTCCACATCGGGCATCATCAATGTGAAGGCCTATCGCAGTCTGTCGACACCACGCAAGCGCACCTCACACGTTCGCACGCTGACATTCTCGCCCAAGGTGCAGCCACAGAACTCCGCCAACACACCGCTGTCCACGCGCCGACTTGGCAGGGCCAATGAGAAGCCCGTCATAAATAATGTGGAAATAATACCAGCGGGTTCCGCACTGGCGCCCGCTTCCATATCCGATTTAAGTGCCAATGACACGGTGGGACATGGCGTGCCGCCGCTATTCGCGATGGAAGAGTGCAGCAATCAGACGGTTATCAAGGCCTCGTCGGCAAAGAAAATCAAACCAAAGGCAGGAGCAGGAGCAGCAGTCGAAGCACCAGTCATGGCCGCTGTAACGCCGAAGCGTAAACAGAAGCGACAAGCGGCGGTGAATGCCTGCAAGAGGATAATTGCCCAGGCACCCGCACTGGAGACTGAATCAACGGCAAACGAATCGGAAATCCATGTGGAAGATGCAGCAACGGCAGCCAGGTGCCAGCAGGATGGAAATGATAGCGCCGAGGCCAGCAAGGAGAATCAACAGAATCAGTCGACAGAGGAGGCCGGTGCTGAAGAGTCGCAGGATCTGCTGGCTGCCTGGAATCGCCAGATGATTGGCTCAAGCAGCGAACTGGAGAATCGTTTGCGTGAAATCAATGCCAAGCAGCAGGATGAGGCGCCAGCGACCAGTGTCAAGCCCGCACGCAATCGCCGCAGAGCGACGCCCACCACCCGAAAGAAAAAGCCAGAAACGCAGCCCAAGGGCAAGTCCAGCAAAGCCAAGAAGCAGCAGCAACCAGAAGGGGTCGGTGGCGTTAGCATTAAGTTGCCAACGCCCCAAAAGCCAAAGCCAAAAACTAAGAAAAACAAGAAGGAAGAGACAGAAGTAGCAGCAGAGAAAGATCCAGATCCGCCTGCAGCAGCAGAAGTTCCTTTTATGCTTAACCCAGAGGCCGATGATATAGATGCCAATATGGCCATGCTGCTGGATACGCCATTTAAGCAGCCGCCCTTGGGTTCGATGGGCAGCATGGCTAACATTCATGGTGGACCGTTGGGTGTGCCGCCAACGCCTGGGGGCATGGCCATCCTACCGCTGGACACGCCCTATAGCAAGCTGCCGACCAGCTCGTTTCTGTTTGGTTCGGAAACAAAGAGCATTATGGATACGCCACAGCTGAGCGCCATAACGCCGGGTTTCCGCCTGACACCATTTGGCCATGGTGCGGGCACACCGCTGGGCAGTGCCGCCAAAACGGATTACTCATCGGGCAGCAGCTATTACCGGCCGGATGAGGCTGAGCATACGGATGCGAATGCGCAGTGCGCGATCCATCAGCGCGAGGATTGGGAGGAAACAAAGCAGCAAGCAGAAGCAGAAGCAGTAGCCGAAGCCGAAGCAGTAGCAGCTGCAGCAGCATTCAAGGATGTCGTGCAGGAAGTGCTTGATCCGAATGATGTTGCTGTGAACAGCTTCGTGGAGCTGTGCGGCATCGAGCCCACTGTGCTGCGACGTGTGCGATCCTTTGGCAGCGATGTCGTGGATAGCATTGAGGCGGCCACCGCGATATCCCTGGCAATGGAGACAGCCCCACCGCCGCCGCATTATAAACTGATGCCTGGACTGCCGGAATCCGTGCTGGAGGAGGCATGCAGCAGCTCCAGTTCCTCCAGCTCCTCGTCTTCGTCTAGCTCCAGTTCAAGTTCCTCCAGCAGCGCGACATCCACCTCCTCCTCCGCATCAGCCGCAACATCCGCATCGCAGGGTAGCCAGCAGCGGGCAAGAAATGGAGTTGCGGCAGACAGCCAGCAGGCGGCAGTGCGACTCAGTCTGGATAATTTGTCGAACATCAGCAGCACCGAGGATGAGGAGTGGCTGAAGGCGGCGACGATGAATGCCCCACCAACGCTGGCCATCGACAGTCAGCCGGGACAACTGGTGAGCCAGGATGGGGAGGTGCGTTATCCCATACGGAATTGGCTAACGCCCAGCAAGGCAGTCCCACCAGCGCCAGTGGCAGTCAGTCCAACGCTGATGAATGCGCCACTGGGTGCCATCAAGCTGACACTGCCGCCGCGCTCCGCAGAGAAGTTAACCCAGCGCTTGCAGCTGCAACAGCAGCAGCAACAACAGCAGTCGAAGCGGGAGCTGGAGCTGTCGCTGGAGCAGCCTTCTTCGTCTTCGTCGAAGATGAGCGATCAAATGCAGCAGCTGCTGCTCGAGAAGCGGGAGCGTGTTGTGGCCAAGGTGAAGCAGCAGCAGCCGGCAGGCAAGTTAGCGCTAAAGAGAACAAAAACCAAGAAGCTAACGGCCATGCGAGAGACGGCCCAGCAGGCCAATCCGCCTGTACAGAATAAACCCAAAAATATGACAACAAAGAAGAAGGCAACGGCAACGGTAACAGCAGCAGCAGCAGCTCCTGCAGCACACGATCTCCCAACATCAACAGCCACACCACAACCCAAATCGATGCCTGAACGTAATTTGGATCCCCTGCTGTACGCACTGAATCTCTCAGCGAAGAAGCAGGAGCCCTGGTCCTGCTCTTTCTCGGGTGCAGCAGCAGCAGCAGGTGGCGGCGGCGGCGGCGGCCCGAAGATGCAAAAAATAAAGGTGAATGTGTCACGTAAAGTGCTCCAGATAGCCGCACAGCCTGCGCCACAGAAACGTGGACGTCCCAAGAAGCCACAAAGAGCAGACCAAGCCAAGATCACAACGCGACGTTCCTCACGTTTGATAGACAATAAAAGTAAGTGGGGAAACGCAGAGAGAAAAGGGAAATTGGATAAAATATTTGAATAAACTTTTGGTTTTCTTTTTCTTTATCAAGCAGCACCCGCACCGGACGATGTTGAGGCAAATGTCGAGCAAACGAAGACGAAAAAAACAAATGGCAAGCCGGGCAGCAAGAAGAAACAATTAATGGGAGCCAAAAAGCAGCCAGAGGGTAGAGCTGCGGCAATTCCCACGCTGCCTATGGTGGCCGAGGCACAGACAACACAGCCATCGCCGGAGTTGCAGCAGCAGGAGATGCAGCTGGAGTTGGTCGCAGCCGAACAGGCGAACGAGGAGGAGGAGGAGCTCGACTACGAGCTGGATCTGTGCCTGAGCAAAAGCCGCGAGAAGCACACCTACAGCTTTGTCTACGCGGATGCGGGACCCAAGCGCAAAAGTCCAAAGTTGAGGCGTCGCTCGAATAGTTACTTCAAGAACTATCACATGCGCGTCATGATGGAGGACAATCAAGTACACACCCTGAGCATGGCCAGTCCCAAGATGTTTGCCATAAGCAGCCAAGCGGCAGCGATTAGTTCGATTCTGAATATACCCAAGAAGCGAATACGCCGTCTGACCAGCAGCAATGGTACAGCCACAGCAACAGCAGCCACAATCATAGCCAAGCCCATGGCGACATCCACACCGGTGACGGATAAGCAACTGTCACGCAGTGACACCATGCAGCAACAGGATGAGAATGATCTAGAAGTGGCAGCCATGTAAGTGTAGCACTCTCCCTCTCTCTGGAAACTTGACATTAATATTTACCAACTCTCTCTCTCTCTCTCTTATGCAGCACCACAAGTGGCCACAATAGACTCTGCACAGAGCAGCAGCAGGAAAGTCAAGTAAACGATGCCATGGAAATTGAAGATATCGAGTCGATACTCTCACATTTGCATGGCACTTGACTTGGTTTGCGTGTGTCCAGGTTGGCGGGGTGACAGCGTAGCTCCATCCCTTTCTAGCGCTTGTCTCGCTGTGCATGGTGAATAAGTTATTGATCCTCTCCACAGCGCACAATGTCAACGTCTAAGCGAATTCACCTTGAAGAAGAAGTGAATTGGATTGGAAGAGAAGATTTTAGTTTGTTTCACCCTCATCTTTTTGCTTAAGTTTTTTGTATTTAATTGATCCAAGCAATATGTGGACTTTGCATATAAATATCGTACTACTATTACTACCATTATTATTCAACCTATAGACCTAACTAGAGTGTAAGCATTGACGACGCGTTGAGACCGTCGTTTGAAGTCGAATTGAAGTGTTTTTGTATAGTATTTATTTATCGTTTGTAAGGTCTGAGGAATGCACGGACGGGACGGTATATTAATTCACAAAATGTTCACCCATGAATAGCAAAATATTTCATTTACGATATATGTGTATACATATGTATTATATCTATTACATGTACCTATAGAAAGTTGATTTAATTTGTAAGCACAAAGAACAATTTAAACGTGAAGAGTTTTGTTTTTTTTTTTTTTTTTTGGTTTTTATGAATATTAAGCCACACTCCTTCATCATTCGATGCCACAGGCAGTTGTGTCGAAAAATACTCATACAAAATATTCAAAGTCCTTGTGCATTGAAAACAAATTAAAAAATGGGAATTAATATGGAAACGAACTCTAGCAAGATTAGCTCAACCAGCTGGGGAATAACTTTTAAATTTATTTAAAAAACAAATTCGTTTCAATTTGCAATTTTAAAATTACTTTTGACTTTAGACGGGACATCTACTTCAATAATAAATATTGTTTGTAGGTTTTTTTGTTGTGTCTATCCATGAGACTGTTCGGAGAGTGGGTTGGCGCCTTAAATATTGAAACAATAAAATAAAAACAATATTTAAAAATATGTTTAATGGTGGTTTTCTTTACGAATTGAAGACAATCTTAAAAGTTTGTGTGTTCGGAGAGTGGGTTGGCGCCTTAAATACAAAAAAAACATATTTTAAAATATTTGTAATGGTGTTTTTGTTTTGTTTTAACGAATTCAAGACACAATCTTGAATGTAGCTATGGCTTTTTTATGTGTGATTCTCATTCTACAGTTAAATATTCAAAAAAAAAATAATTGAATATGAATATTCTGTTGATTTCAAAGTCAATCACAGTCTGGGAGTAGCCTCGTCAGTAGCGAGCGAGTTCAAGCCACAAAACAATCTTGAATGCGCTGTCACAGCCATTTGTCTGTGGTCTCCTTAAATATTCATAATTCGCAGACTTTGATGGGCATTGCATGCCTGCCTGCCTGCCTGCCTGCCTGCCTGCCTGTATCATATTTATAATTGCAACAATTACGGCAGAGCCAGGACAGGTCGCAGCAGGCATAAGAATGCAATGGCCAGTGCCAATTTAGAAACAAAACTCAAGGCAAGCAGTTCATCATGGTGCGGCTGGTGCAGCTGGTGCTACTGCTGCTGACTGTTGGCTGCTACAGCCAGGAGCTGCTCAAGATAAGTGAGTGCCAATCTGCACAGACACAGACACAAAATAAAAGTCTAACGAGTCTCGTCTCGTCTCTCGTCACACAGCCTTTTGGATAGAGCCGTTGCAGCGTGCAGAATTTGATGCGGATATGGTGGTGGTGCTCAAGGAGCTGGATGGCTTGCGGCTGGATATTAAGGTTTCGGATGTATCCATGCCATTGACACGCTCCGAAGATGGCAAGGATATGCAACGCTGTAAGACCAAAAAGATGATGTGAACATTTTCGTACATTTTCCTCATTTTCTGTGCTCTTTTCTTTTCTTTCTCGTATAGTTTGTGAGATCCTGGGCAGCGAGGGCAGCACCATTGTTATAGATCTCACCTACAGCCACTGGCCGGAGGGCTACAAGCTGCTGCGTGACAAGGGCATTGCGTATGTGCGACTGGAGCGCATGCTGCGACCCTTTCTCGAGATGTTTGGCGCCTTCATGCGACAGAAGCGGGCCAATAATGTGGCAATGGTGTTCCAGAATGCCCGCGACGCTGATGAGGCCATGCAGCAGATGATTATTGGCTATCCCTTTCGCACGCTGATCCTCGATGCCAGTGCGAGCGACAATCCCAGGGGTGACTTTGTGCAGCGCATAAAAGCCCTGCGGCCCACGCCCAACTATGTGGCAATGTTTGCACGTGGTGCGGCCATGAATTCGCTCTTCGACAAGGTGAGTTCTGGCATTCAATGCACTTCCCCTGTGGAACTGATTCGTTTGCTCTCGATTGCATGGGCAGGCGCAAAAGGGTGGCATATTTGAGCGGCCCACCGAATGGCATTTCATTTTTCTGGACACACGCGATCGGGTCTTCAAGTACAAGCGCCAGGTGGAGCTGGCAAATCGTTTTACGCTGAATGCTCGGGCCATATGCAGATCGATGCCCATGCCGGATCTTTATTGCGGCAGTGGATTTACAGTAAGTTGTCTCCAACTCCATCCCTTTCTGTCGTTTGTCTCAGCTTGCTAGTAAATTCACCTAATTGCCATTTCTCTCTCTCTCTCTCTCTCTCTCTTTTTCTCTCTTTACGTTGCATTTACAGTTGCAGCGGGCCATGCTGCTGAATGTGCTACGAAGTCTGATCAATGCGGCACAGGTGAGTCCGGAAATGCCGCTGCCCATCTACGTGGAGTGCAATAGCACTTCCTCTGAGTCAACAGAGCTGGGCACAGCAGAGCCCTTTGCAGAGACCGTGACACAGTCCGGCTCCTGGCTGGAGTGGGTGCACTGGAGCAACTTTCTCACCTTTGCAGCGGGTGTGGAACGGTATCCGGATGAATTGGAGCCGGGCCAGCCGACAGCAGTGGTCCTGCCGGCGCTCACCTTTGCCGTAAATATCTCCGCTGGCTATTACTCCAGCGAGCATGAGGCCAAGACAGATCTGGCCGTGTGGTCCACCCTGGGCGGCGGCACGCTGCGTCTGCTCAACGAGACGGTCAGTCCGGCGCGACGCTTCTTTCGCATTGGCACCGCCGAGAGCATACCCTGGAGCTATCTGCGGCGCAACGAGCGAACCGGCGAGCTGCTGCGCGACAGCAAGGGCGAACCCATCTGGGAGGGCTACTGCATTGACTTTATGCACCGGCTGTCGCAGAAGCTTAACTTTGAGTACGAGATCGTGGCCCCCCAGACGGGGCACATGGGCGAGGTGAATGCGGACAATGAGTGGGACGGTGTGGTGGGGGATCTGGTGCGCGGCGAGACGGACATTGCCATTGCCGCCCTCAAGATGTACTCGGAGCGGGAGGAGGTCATAGATTTCCTGCCACCCTACTACGAGCAGACGGGCATTTCGATTGTCATCCGCAAGCCAGTGCGCAAGACGTCGCTGTTCAAGTTCATGACCGTCCTGCGGCTGGAGGTTTGGCTGAGCATTGTGGCCGCCCTCGTGGGCACGGCATTTATGATCTGGTTCATGGACAAGTACTCCCCGTATAGCTCGCGGAATAACCGTGCCGCCTATCCGTATGCCTGTCGTGAGTTTACGCTGCGCGAGAGCTTCTGGTTTGCCCTCACCTCGTTCACGCCGCAGGGCGGTGGTGAGGCGCCAAAGGCAATTTCAGGGCGCATGCTGGTGGCCGCTTACTGGCTGTTTGTGGTGCTCATGCTGGCCACGTTCACGGCCAATCTGGCGGCTTTCCTCACGGTGGAGCGCATGCAGACGCCGGTGCAATCGCTGGAGCAGCTTGCCCGCCAGTCGCGCATCAACTACACGGTCGTCATGGAATCGGATACGCATCAGTACTTTATCAATATGAAATTTGCGGAGGATACGCTGTACCGCATGTGGAAGGAGCTGGCGCTGAATGCCTCCAAGGACTTTAAGAAGTTTCGCATCTGGGACTATCCCATCAAGGAGCAGTACGGACACATTCTGCTGGCCATCAACAGCTCGGGGCCGGTGAAGGATGCTCGCCAGGGATTCGCCAAAGTGGATGCTCACGACAATGCCGACTATGCGTTCATCCACGATGCGGCGGAGATTAAGTACGAGATAACCAGAAACTGCAATCTGACGGAGGTGGGCGAGGTGTTTGCCGAACAGCCGTACGCGGTGGCTGTGCAGCAGGGCAGCCATCTGGGCGATGAGCTCAGCTATGCCATACTGGAGCTGCAGAAAGATCGTTTCTTCGAGGAGCTGAAGACCAAGTACTGGAATCAATCGAATCTACGCAATTGTCCGCTCTCCGAGGACCAGGAGGGTATCACGCTGGAGAGTCTGGGCGGTGTGTTTATAGCCACGCTCTTTGGCCTGGTTCTGGCCATGATCACCCTCGGCCTGGAGGTGGTGTACTTTAAGAAGCGGCAGGATACCTTGGAGGCCTCCATCACTCAGGTGAAACCCATTGAGGCGCCAGATACTGATACTGGAACGGCTCCTCCTACGGCCGCCAGCCAGAAGAAGGGCGCCTGGCATATACCACTGGATAAGCAGAGATCGGCAAAGATATCGCCACCGCCTTCGTTCGAGGTGGCCACATTTCGGGGCAAAAAGGTGCCGTCGAAGGTAACGCTGGGCGATGGTAAGTTCAAGCCGCGCCATGGCCTGCAGTCCCGCCGCAATCTAGGAGCACTCGATGCACCAATGGGCTACATGGAATGAGGGATATATTTAGGCTATCCATCGCATATAATCAAAGTCACACACGTATTTACTCGTAATCGTAATCGTACTCGTCTATTTCAAACTCAACAGTTTTCAAATAAATACGCATATCGATAGTAATTATTGATTAGTAATTATTTTAGTATTTTGTTGCACCCACGTAACCTTGACCTTTTAAGGTTTAACCTTATTTTGCAATCAATCCAATAAATGTAACTAATTTAAACTAGCCAATCTTGTGAAAAATTTATTGATGATTCTGATAAAACTATAGTTTTAGCGATGAGAATGCTAACTAGCTAGTATAATTAAATAAAACATCAAAGTCGAGGAAACTGATTTAAGATTTACGGTATATTTACAGTATATTTTGAAAATGGAAATGATATTCCGAGAGTCTGTCGGTATATCTTATCGAAAAGCACGCGGTCACACTGACCCTCTGGCCCAACAGATTACGCGATTTATATTTTTTATTTAACTTTAACTGTAACTGGCCGTGGCACCCACAAATCCAATAGTCAGTCATGCACAAGGTGATAAGGCAAATGTCGCAGCTGCGGCTGCAAGCGGTGCCTAGCTCAACGTTACTCAAGACGACTGCTTCCTCCATACCACCTGCCACTCACCACAGCCTGCACACGGCCGCCGGAGCTGGTGGAGCATTGTGTGCCAATTGGAACAAACACAATTTTGGGCCACGCAAATGGCTGGTGTATAACAAGACAGTGCATCCACCCCAGCAGCCGGAGGAAGAGCCACGCAAGGCGGTAAATAACAATTCGAATACCCGTTAAGCTCGTTAATCTCATGAAGAAATCATAAATTCCGTTTCTGTAGTACGTGTGTCACATGCGCAACAATATCAAATATAGCCCGGACAAGATGTGGTACATAGCGGCATTTGTGCGCGGCATGTCCGTCGACGAGGCCCTCAAGCAGCTGAACTTTGTGCTCAAGAAAGGAGCCACCGATGTGAAGGAGACCATACTGGAGGCCCAAGAGATGGCCGTGCAGCGACACAATGTGGAGTACAAAAGCAATCTGTGGATAGGTAAGATATCAATCCCCCCATCCATCCATCCATCCAACCACTGACTCGACTTTCTCCATGCAGCCGAATCTTTTGTGGGCAAGGGACGTGTATTCAAGGGAATGCGACGACATGCGCGCGGTCGCTTTGGCCAGGTGGAGTACAAGCATTGCCACTACTTTGTGAGGCTGGAGGAGGGACAGCCGCCACAGCACTACTACCAAGAGCCACAAACACCCGAACAGCAGTATGAGCATTGGCTGGAACAGATGCGCAGCCGAAAGGTTATCAATTCCCTGTAATGTAATGTACAACACGCGCCCCCCCCCCCACTTTCGACTTCTTCCTCAATAGCATTTTTTTTTGTTTTTAAAATTTGTTTAATAAATATTAAAACGAAGTTATCGCTACTGGCTCCTCCTCTTCGTCTTGAAGAGCCGCGCTAATCAGCTGCTGCAAGGGCTCCTCATCGTCCGCCTTTACAGCCATAGATTCAGCGACTTTCTTCAAAGCGGGTGCCTTGCGTTGACGCACCTCCTCGTCCACATCCTTCGGCAGCTGCAGGCAGGCCAGCTTTGACAGCTGGGAATGTTTGGTGCGGCCAGCATCGCGCCGTCGCTTGCGTGTCTTTGAATTGGATTTGGGTTTCGCCTTCGTCTTTGCTTCCGTGTGATCTCGTGCCAGATGCTTGGACAGATTCTGGGCACTGCTGAAGCAGCGTCCACAGTCGATGGCCTGACACTCAAAGCGCCTGCCGGAGTGCGCCGCCAGGCGATGTTGGCGTAAGTTACGCTCATACGAATAGGTGCGAGTGCAGCCCGGCTCGGTGCATGGAAACGCGCCGGCAGTGTCATTGTGCTTGGCCTCCATATGCAGCTTGAGATCGCTGGGCTTGGCATAGCTGCTGTCGCAGTGCTCGCACTTGTTACGCTGTCGTCCGTGCAGCGTGTCGCGACAATGCTTCGTGTAGAGCGTCCACTTGTCGAACTGCAGGGCGCAGCCTGGGCAGGAGTAGAGCTTGCAGCTGCCCTGATGGCTCTCCCGCTGCCACTCCTGATAGAAGCCGCGACTGCACTTGCTGCAGCGGTACGGATAGTCCTGGGTGTGCTCGCGAATATCGTGCCGCTTCAGCTTCAACTTTTGCGAGAACTTAGCCGGGCAGTGTCCACATGGATACTCGCGGGGACTGTCGTGGGCCTCGCGCACATGCCGCTGCATGTTGCTGTCAGAGGTGAACATCTTGGTGCACTCCAGCACTGAGCACTTGACGTTCTTCTGTGCCGCATCCTCGGTTCGCTCGTGGGTGCTTCGAATGTGCCGCTTCAAGTGGGTAACAATTGAGTATATCTTGTCACAGCCCTCAAACGAACAGGCATGCTTCTTCTGAAATGGTTATGTAAACTGGGTAATTAATAGTTCTGTTCCCATTCATTATTCCGACTTACTTTGCCCGTGTGGTGGAACTCATGCCGATCCAATTGGTCGAGACGCTTAAATGTGGCCCCGCATTTTGCAATGCTGCACGTGTACTTCGCCGTGCCAACACTATTGCGACGCTCCACCTTCTGCTTGAAGTCTTCCAGCACAGTATCCAGGTCACTGTCACTGGTTATATTCATGTCTGGCGGCATTTTGCCTTACCAAATGCCAAAAATACCTTTAAAATATATTTTAAACAATTTTGTTGAGCCGAATCCAGTGTTTGGCAAGACCCAAATCAGCCCCCAGCTCAATAATCGATAGTCATGCAGAGTGCTGTAAACGATACATCGAGTGTGAAAAATGCATTATCGTTATCAGTGTAGTTGGTAAGCTTAAAAGCTAGTGCCGAGCTTACAAAAAAAACACTTGGCAGAATTTCAGATAATAAACAAAATCAAAAATAGTGAAGTTTTCAAACAAAAACCATGGAATACGAGAGCGTGTTGATTGTCAAACCAGAGGTTTTCATATATAAAATACCACCGCGGGCGAGCAATCGAGGCTATAGGTGAGTCAAGCAACAACAATAGGAAGAAAAAGTGACTACTGCTTTTTCTTTTGCTTTTACTGTGTTTCATTCTAAATTGAAAGTTTTTCCACTGCAACCAAAGAGACGCCCCCACATCAGGGGCATCTCTGCATGTGTGTGTGCGGGTGTTTGCTGCTGTGTGTGTACTGCGTGAGAATGCATAAATTATGCTTGTTGTTGCTGTTGCTGTTCTTCTCTTTTGAAGTTCATTTCCAATTGATTTTTTACAGCTGCTCTCTATGCTTTTTGCCTAATTACTGTACATGTTCCCTTACACGTATGCGGCCAACCCCTACCTCCCTCCCTCCCTCCGTCTTCACACCACCCATCCGAAAAAAGCTCCATTATTTGCGTGTGTGCTGCTACTGCCTCTGCTGTTGATTTCTTTGTTGGCTCACAGTTTTCCATCTCATCACTGATTTTCCCATCTCATATTTTGCAGGGCGGCCGACTGGAACCTAAAGGAACCCACCTGGACGGGTAGGATGCGTCTTGTGGCTAAGGGCACGGCCTGCATCTTGAAGCTGGAAGATAAGACCAGCGGCGCCCTCTTCGCCAATTGCCCCATCGATACATATCCCGGCGTGGCCATCGAGGCAGTCTCCGACAGTTCCCGTTATTTTGTCATACGCGTCCAAGACGACAATGGAAGGTCCGCCTTCTTGGGCCTGGGCTTTGGCGATCGATCGGACTCGTTTGATCTGAATGTGGCGCTGCAGGATCACTTTAAGTGGGTGAAGAACCAAGAGCAAATTGAAAAAGAGAAAACCGAGCCCAAGCAGGAGCTGGATTTGGGCTTCAAGGAGGGCGAAACCATTAAGATTAATATGAGAATAACGGTAGTTAAACGTAAACCCAAAAAAGGCGTTTCCACTTATGTATTTGCCATTTTTGTTTAGAAAAAGGACGGCTCCGACGGCCCATCCCGAACTGGCAAGAATAAGGGCAACAGCGGTGTTCTGCCACCGCCACCAGGTGGTCTGGGCAAGATAGCGCCACCACCAGCAGCCGCGGCTTCGCCTGGGGCGACGGTTCGGACAAGTCCTGGCGTCTCGCCAGCGCACAGACCATCCGGCGGAGGGTCCGAGTGGACCGACTATGCATCAGCTGGGTGAGTCTCTCTCTCTCTCTCTGTCTCTTTGTAGTCCTAATCTTTATCGTTCCTAATGTATTTTTCAGGGGCAATCAAGGACAACAGAACTCGGCAAATGCCAACTGGGTGCAGTTTTAGGCTGGTGATCTGCTCCTTCTGCTGCTGCTGCTGCTGTTGCGACCGACCTCCTTTCTGTCATAGGATCTTCTACAGCGCTTTATATTATCACCTACCATCATTTGTTGAGACATTCACTATTTGAATTAATTTTTTCGTTTTGGCAAAAGGAACGACGACGACCAAGAAGAGAAATTTGAACCGAGAGGCATTCAGCGCAAGAGATAAACGTTAAAGTTAGCCTTTTTTTTATATATATATATACATTAATTAATGGAAATTGTGTGTATTAGTTTCCCCTCTTGTCACTGTCCCACAGGGGCACGATCTACTGCGCCTCGCCCTCTGAATGGTGTAGCTAGAACATTGAGGGGATTTTGGTAGCAAACTATTTAGCCTGGTTGTTAATTGTGTAAAGGAATTGTTTTGAAGGCGAACGGACACGCATGAGATAAATCATAATATTTGTAATGGAAGTTAATATTCGGCAAGTGTAATTTGTTAAACACACAACATGCAACATGCAACATGCTAGCTGCAAACAAAACTAAAGTGAAAGTGATTCAAATTGTTTGGAGTACTTACACCAGTCACACGAGTGCATGCAAAGGACATTCCGCAGATGAGAAGAAAGCAAACTAAACTAAATAAAAGTAAAACAAAAACATAAAAGTATAGTAGCCTTATAGGATGACATTACATACCAATTTTAGTTTATTGTTACACTATCTCCATCCGCCCCCCTTCCCCTTACCATTCCCTTACCCACGCAACAGTCTCAAGCACATTGTGCCCTTTCCTTCCCATTGCCAGAGGGTCTTATAAATATATTTTATTTTTTGTTTAAAAGAAAAACGGCACACACGCATAGCAATTAAGTAAATCAAATGAAATGTATATGCTACATGCTATATATACACATACAGTATGATGAAAGATATCCATATGTATTTAAATAAATAAACCACGCAATGTATTTAGTACATTACCAAAACAGAAACCACAAAACAAAAAACGAATGAGTATAAATATGAGATACATATATAGAAAAGAGATCTTACTAAATATGAATTCAATAGTTGAAATGTTTGCCCCATGCCCGATCCTGCTGATACACACTTAATTCCATAGTTTAATTGTCTTGCCGCCCCCTCGTACTTGCTAATTCTCAACACCCAGTGTTAAGAGCTCTTTGTTTATCCGATGATACGTAGATTAGTGCTATGATGTGTATGTTTGGGAGCTCGCTCTGCTCCTTCATGTTTCTTTTGCTGTTGTTGAACTATAAAAAAACGCTAAAAATGTGTACGAACTAAGAAACAAACACTAGTTATATATATTTGTTCAATTCATGTGTATACTTAGAGAGCTGCAACTGGCACACAATTTTCATCTCATGCGGGGCATACAGTGTGTTTTACTTTGTGCTGGACTGGGCCAAAAGTGGAAGAAGAAATAGTTTTTGATCGACGAGAATTTTCATGCTGATCAAACAAATTTTGGATATTTATCTCCGTAATTAATCACAATAATAGGTTTAATCGCATAGAAGATATCTGATAGATGTGTGGTGGCAATATTCGACTGCTGTCAATTGAAATCTGCCCCAAGAAAGTGAGCACAGACAACCACTAAATCAGTAATTGAGTGGCGTGGATCTCTTTCAACCAATATACATAATATGAGCAACAAAAATATATTTAAATCCATCAAATCCATCCCTCTTTCAATTCAAAAATTTACCCTTTAAAGATGCTGAAAGATTTTCATGATAAACCGAATTTTAAATTTATCAAGCAAGGATTTGTTTAAACATGGTGACCATTTATATCATTTATAACTTAACCCAAGCCATAGTTCATTTCTAGAATAGCAACAACTATTTTAGCTGCCTAAAACAACGAAGGTCTGGCTTACAACCGAAAACCCGTCTGGCAACTGTGAAACGCACTGTATCATTATGGATATACGTTATTGGGGTAACCTTCAAAAATGAGGGGAGAGTGGGTCACTCGTGTTTCAAGCGAGAGAACCTTCAATACCAGAATATCACATTATTCGCCAGAACAGCTTTGAAGCAGTCTACAAAAAAATGAAGAAAAAAACGAAAAAAAAGTAAAGTTAAATATATGTATGTACATATGTACATATAATATACATATACACGACAAACAAGATATATACAAAATGCAACTAATATTAATGAAATACGAAATAAATAAAAAGAACAGAGCATAGCAATTTCAATTTACAATGTGCTTCAGTTTTCATTTGCAATGATGCAAATCACGAGGCATCATAGGTAAAATTCTAAACAGGCTGATTGATCAGATTCTAGGATGCCAATTCCTGCTCCTTGGCCAATAAAACTTTGGGTTTCTTTTTTTTCATTTATTTTCTTTATATTTTTAATTAAATTATAATTTTTGCTTCCGCTCGCGCTGTATTTTTTGTATGGTTTTTTTTGTTTTCTTTTGTTTTTTGTTTTATTATTTGTTTTGTAATTGTTATTTAAGTTTAATTACAATGTATTATTCTCATAGGACTTCTGCTTCCGCTTGACTTTGCCATCTCCTCTCTCTGATACTCCTCCTCCTTTCTCTCTTAGCCTTTCTTCATATTTGTTTCGCTTAATAATTTGTGTGGTGTGGTGTGGTGTGTATTACATCATCGTATGATATTCAAATACATAGCTATATGTACGTATAAATAGATGTATTGTATGCTATGTGTGTGAATGGGTAGGTATAACCTGGCTAGCTAGAAACTTGCGGGGGGTTAACCTCCCACCAACACACAGATTCCTATATATCATATATATTCTGCCTGATTTTTGTGGTTTAATATGCCATCCATGCGCATAACGTAATGCTTGTAGTTCGTTTTTGCTTTTGTTTTCATTTCAATTTCAGCTAGGTGGAATTTTGTTTGTTTGTGTGACTTGGGGCTGAGACACCACGCCCAGAGAACTTGGAACGTGAAGATCCTTCCTTTAGCGGATGTGGTCTAGGAAGGGGGAGAATGTGGCTGAGTGGGCGATTTCCTATACGAACAAGCAAAAAAACAAAAAAATATTTATGTATGATTTATATCGTATGTATACATATATAATCGTCTAATTATTTTTCAATTAAGTCGCATACATAAATTGGAGGGGGGAGGGAAATCTTAGTGTTCTCTGTTTTGGGGTTTGTGTGGCGATGATTCTCTGTCATCTAGTTACGATATTTACACAGCTGCATTTCCACGCTAAATGTATTGTACCATACATTCACTCGAGTCCTGCCTGCGCCTCAACAATACTCAATAATCTACTCGCTTAGCTTAGCCTACAAAAATATTTCATCCTAATCAATTCATTTTCCAATATCGATTTTTCAACGAATAACTTGTAGAGCGTAATATTTTTTTAAAAACTAGCAACTAAAACCCTAACTTAAACTTGTATAAACGTCTGCCTGCGCATACATATACAGAAGTTGGCTTAAGTGTGTGTGTGTGTGGGGGTAGGGGAGGTCGAAGAAAGTTGTAAATATAATTTTGAAACAAAATAAAAAATGGTACATTTAATGTTTGTTTGCTTTCAAAACGCGTCCCCGTCAATCTTCTTTCTATCCAATATTAGTGCCGATTCTACCACTACACATCCTGATCTCGACTCAAAAGGGGACTGTGGGGTAAAGGTATTATTATGTTGGGATAGATAATGGCTTATTGGATGATGGGATTACATGAAGCGCTGGCGTTTACTGCTATAGTGGCATATATCCATTTTATCGTCGATGGGACTGCCGGGACGCTTGCAGTGGCGCGCTATTTCATTGGCAACAAATGAAAACAGTTCTGGGCCACTGAAACACACACCAAATAAATAATAACATTAGTGAGGAAATGCACAAGCGAACTGGTAGTATCGTTGGACTGACCGTGGGCGCAAAACCAAAGCCTCCTTGAAGGTATGCAAATCATCACCGATGCCTGGGGCTCCTGGAGCACCGCAGCCGCCACCACCACTATGTGCGCCAGCTCCGGCTGGCGACAACAAATGCGATGGATGCCCCGAAGCACCTGTCAGTGGGCCACCGGGCAGGTCAAGGCCAGAGCCAAGAAATCCCAGGCCAGAGCCTGGTCCGCCGCTGGTCGAAAAATGTCCGCCGACGCCACCGCCATGGTTATGCTCAGGTTTTGGTGACCTACAGAGGCATAGGAATGCAGAGAGAGATTTGGTTCAATTATAAAAGGGTGATGCTCTGGAACATGCAGCGCGGGACTCACCGACGATTGGCATGTGGATTTGTGTTGGATGGCGGCATCGGTTTTCCGGCTAGATAGGCCAATAGATCCTCGCGGCGTATCATGCGACGTTTTTTGCTACGAGCCCATTCTGCTAGCTCACGTGTGCGGCGTTGATATCCACACTGTACAGCAGCATCGCTGGTGCGCTTGAGACCATCACATGATTCTGGAAGGTGGATTAATGGGGGTTACATATTATGGTTACGAAATCAATATGCTATAGTTGGAGATTTTGGGGCATGGGGCTATACTACATTACCTTTGTAAAGTGTTGTCACAGTGCCAGCTGCGGTCTGGAAGGGCAGCCAGAGGGCGCCTGTGTCTGAGGAAAATGCGTTCGATGAGCGCTCTGTGGAGGAGAAGATGGAATGAGAGATATTATCAGTGGTAGTAGTGGTAACAGTGGAAGCATAGAAGCAGACTCAATTTTCTTTCTTGTCGAAAAGATGTCGAAATAAAAATGTCTGACCTGTCCGCCATTGAAGATCAATCTTTCTGCCGTCTCTCCCTGACTGTGTATCTAGCTGTTTTTTTTTTTGCAGTCTCCTCTTTGCACACCTGCTGCACACGGAAAATACAGGACGACGAGGGAATAGAAAGAGAGAGGAAGAGAGTGGCGTAGACCGACCTCCCTTGTGCCGTTATCGACCCGAGATGAAGAGCCTGCAGCAAACAAAAGTGCAAGCGGGATGGCACCAATCACACTCAGTCATAACCCAAAATAATTTGCAATAAAATAAAAAGAACAAGAGGCTGCGACAGCGACTTGCCCGATAGAAGAGAAGTAGATGAGATGGGGGAGAATCAATATAAAGGAAAGCTTATCAATCTTTCAGCTTCCGGTATTTGGGGCTGTGCCATCAAGACTATTTTCGTTCTTTAATTTTTCGCCATCGAAAACCAAACCACCCCCCCCCCCCCCTCCACTAAAAGAATGACGAAAGCAAAACAGCTGTTTGCCCATTGTTTTTGTTGTGACGCAGCGATGTGCGTGTACGTGTGTGTGTGTACATACGATGCACGCACATGTTAATGGATATCGAAACAACAACAAAAAGCAGCACACGAATATCTAGAATCAGCTAAAAAATATACATATAATTCCTAGACGCGACGCCTCTGCCACTGCCTCTCTCCACAGCTGCTGTCGCTGCATACTGCGCTGCCATTGCACTTGGCTTCTACATCTCTCGCTTGCTCACCCGCTCTCCCTCTTATGCTATGCCTTTGCCACTGACTCTCTCGCTCTCTGTTCTATTGCAATGCCCGACCCTTCCTCCGCGCCGCCCCGCTCGACACCACATAAGCCAAAGCCCTTTCTGCATTTTGATAATGCGTAGATTGTGCAGGAAAAAAAGGAGCCGAGCTCGAAAAGTCAATACAAGTAGAGAAGAACATACATAATTATTTAAAGAGATCAGGCCTGGAAGCAGGAGGTAAATGAAAGCCGGGATGCTGCTGCTTCTTCCTTCAGCGCTGGGCTATTAATACCTCGCCCAAAACTATTTTTACACACACACACACAAGCACAAAGAGGCAAGCAACACACAAAAAAAAGCTGAACTATGGAAATGCGTTTTGCCCCAGCTTCCATGCCGCTACACCGCATACCCTTCTATTGAAGGGGACCGTGAAATCCTGTACGACGCCCCTGTTACCAAAACCAAAGTTCCCCGGCACTTACCACGATAGAGCTGGGCCACAGCGGTGGCCGAATCCTGGAATGCTCCCCAGACGGTGCCTAAATTGTTGTCACGCTGACGAACATACTCCCGTTCGAATTCATCATGCTGGCCGTCAATTTCATTGTGACACTGCTCCTCGAGCCAGCTTTCCTCGCCGCCCGATTCCTGCTGCTGTTGCATTTTTTGACTGTGTTTTTGTGTGTATGTTAGTAGTATGTTCGCCTGTTTGTGTGGGTCGTTTGTGGCTTTTTGCTGCGCTGGTTTTTTTTCTTCTATCTCGGTTACGGCTACGGCCTGGACTCCGCGACTGGGGAATCGAATCGCGACTTGCGTCTTCTGGCTGCTGCTCCTTTCTGCTGCTTCCTCTTCTGCTACGACGACAGTACGCACTAACACACACACACACACGAGAAATGCTCACACAGAAGCACACACGCCTCACACACACGCAGCCTCGCTTCTGTGTCGGTGTATAGAGGATTGTCCACTCTTGAATACAAACTTTGGGGCACTTGAATGCGCACTTTGATGCCCAGCTACCAATCCGCCACTAGCTGTTGTGCCGTAGATCACTTTTTTATAATCTTTTGTTATAATTTATTTGTTTTGTTTCATTTGACCAACCAAGATTGTTGATATTATATTGATATATCGCGATGTGCGTGATATTTTTAGTTTTTGATACGATAAAATTGGTACGATATTTTTGCCGCCAAATATGCTAAGAATCGGTATTTTTATAAAATATGTATCGTGCCCTTTTTGGATCCATGCAGAAGTTTGCTTTTAGTGGGATTGGCGGCTCTTGCATGATCGGAGGAGAAGAACAATCAACGAAATAAGCGACGACAACTTTGATTAAACCCATATCTGCAGAAAAGAAACCAGAACGGTCGTTTGTCTATACATTTGAGTATTATAACTCATATAAATATGTGTTCATGGATGGAAACTCATGAAACGATACCCTTTTCATATTCCGCAGTTTGAAAATATGACAGAGAATTTGCATATGGCTGGGAATAACATCTGCAGACGTCTTTGATTCGTGGAGCAGGAAGGCCGTGCCAAGGAATATTTGCACCCTTCCTATTCAAAATTGGATAGTCGCCGCCTTCGCCCCTTGGCACGACCCTATGGAGCAGTACTTGGTCCAAAAAGGAAAACAACTTAAAACATTTTGTTACCGCCGGGTGTGTGTCTTGGCAACATAAAGATACTGGCGTTTAAAAAGGTTAAACAAATTTAAAATGCAAATACTTTCAATATTATCTCATTGATCTATAATAATTATTTCCTTTTTTGCCGTTTGATTGAGTCTATACTCTCTGTTTGCTAGGTACCCTCTCGGAAATCAAAACAGATCTGCTAGCAACATTCCAACGAATACCACACAAATACTATCGATACCACAAAATACTATCGTCTGACTTTCTAGATTATTTCGGCCTGTTTTTTGTCTATCTGAGTACTGCCTGGCCTACATCCGCTAGAAATCCGCGGTTCCATAGCGGCCCCTTTTTTATAAACTGAGAACTAGGCTTATTTTAATAAACTAGATTCTGTGGAAAATTATGCCATTACTATTACTACTATTACTAATACTATTCGATATATCGGGATATTTTTAAATTTAAATATTCGCTTTGACATATTTGATTTATTAGAAATCGATATTTTTAAGAAAGAAGCAAGAACCATCCTAGTATGAGCCCTGTTTGAGGCAGTATGAGCAGACTTATCGATCAACTATTCCACAAATATACTGAAATATACCGAGGATAAGGTTTCGAAAATCGAATTTCTCAAAGATTTTTTTTTTTAATATTTAATAAACCAAGACTTGAAAGTCTTGGCCTGACTCTCACAGACAATCGATTCGTTGATCTGATTTAATTATGTGATCAGGGCCTAGAGTCTTAGCTGGTTAGTAATATTAAGCCGAATATCATAATCGTGGAATATGATACGCATCGGTATATTTCTAAGGGTCAGGCGGTATATCTTATCGATAACTCCGCGGTCACGATGCGCAGCACGTTTTTAAAAGCCGGCCCTATCCCAGAATTTGTTTTGATAAACAAAAGCAAAAATTAACTAGAATTAAAATGTTTATGAACACGGGTCTCTTCGAGCCGGGTAAAACAAAAACCGAACGTAAATTCATCCAACAGGCGGTGAAGCAGAGCCAACGCCTCGATGGCCGCAAGTCCGGCGAAAGCCGCAATGTCGAAATAACCTTCGGTGGCGAATACGGCTCGGTGATCGTGGCGCTGGGCGAAACCAAGGTGATGGCCCAGGTAACCTGCGACATGGGCACACCCACCACGTCCAGACCGAATGAGGGCAAGCTCCAGCTGTTTGTCACCCTTGCGGGCGTCTCCTACCTTGACTCAGTGCAAAAGACGCACGATAAGCGTTCGCTCACGCTAAATTCCCTACTGGAGCGGACATTCCGCACCTCTCGCTGCGTGGACCTGGAGTCTCTGTGTGTGGCCTCCGAGCTGCATGTCTGGTGCATTCGTGTAGACGTGAATGTTCTCAATCACGATGGCAATCTGTATGGTAAGCAGTCTCATAGCTGAATACCTTTTCCCGACCAAAGTGTTCATTATTTTGTAGATGCCAGCACGATTGCCGTTTTGGCTGCCCTTATGCACTTTCGTCGTCCCGACGTGACCTTTACTGATGGCGAGCTGCGCACGTACACGGAGAAAGAGCGCGATATGATACCCCTGCTATTCCTGCATTATCCTGTGAGCGTCACCTACTGCATCTACACGAGCAACTTTCAGCCCTTCGTGGACCCCACGCTGCTGGAGGAGAATTGCGCCGATTCGACTATTATTTTGAGCTTTAACTCGTACCAGGAGCTGTGTACCCTCAATGCTGGCGGCACTGTACCCACGGATGTTCGCACCATAATGCAGTGTGCTCGCAGTGCTGCGAATCGCTGCAAGGCCATGGTAACATTCGTCCGCAAGGCCTTGGATGTGGACGAGCAGCAGCGTTTGCAGGGGAGCACAAAGAAATACTCTGGCATGCTGGGTCTAATGGCCAAATCGTCACAAAAGCTGAGCTTTAAGACGCTAATGAAGGGGGAACAGAAGCAGCAGCAGCAGCATAAATCAGAGGACATGGATATAGAGGTGGAGGCCAAGCCGAGCGCAAAGCTCGAGGAATGTGTAGCAGAGAACGCTGAGAACGATCAGCCAGCCCAGGAAGAGGGTAAGTCCTGCCTCAAGGATGCCTCAGACCTACGCATGGATGCCAGCGGCTGGCTGCCGCAGGAGGTTGAGCCTGAACCCATCATAGATCTGACAAAGCAGGGGCCAGGCAAACCCAAGCGCAAGCGCAACAAGGGCAACAAAAAGAAGCAGCCACAGAGCTCCTAAAACAAACAAAAAACAAAAAAGGGAAAGGTTTATCAAGCTGGGGATACGAAGGGAAAGGAAAGCGAAGCAAGTCCATCTATTTGTAATGAAATTTATGTATAATAAATCTATGAATTAATAGGTAAGTCATGCTTATCCATTATTGTCTACTTAAGCCTACAAGTTTATGGCTAAAAATCAGTCTAGACGCTCGTTCAGTTGGGCAGGGCCCGCCCGTCTTGGCTTTAACTAGCACTACGCGGGGCCAGAACCAGTAGGAATTTTGATTTCTGTCCGAGATGGGCGAGCCCAGACCCGTCTTAAACGCAATTCGTTGTGTTTTTTGTGTGCTAGTTATGGAATTACGCAGGATTTGCTTTCGTTTCAGTTTCGTTCAATTGGTTTTGTTTGTTGAAAAATGTACATGGTTTATTCTTGGTTTCAATTTTAGGATAAATTATATATTATGTATATAAAGAGCTATTAACAACGGACCAATGCTACAACTTCTTTCATCTTAGTGTTAATATTTGCTTCATGTTTACGTGCATAAACATAGTACATACATAATTATTCTTGTTTTGGGAGCACCAGTTGCTGAGTTTGCTTTTTTTTACTTTTTACTTACATTAATTTTCTGCTTACAATTAAATGTGTTTAGTGTTTATCTTCTGATTTTGTTGTTGGGATGTAGGAAGATTGCTGGGAGGTCTGGGTGGGTGGGTTGGCGACAATGATTGCTATAAAAAGTGAACAATGCTGACGTCAGGGATCATCATTCTGATGACGAAAGCAAATCCAGAAACAATGTATATGTGTGCAAGGGAGATGGCTAGCTGATTTTGAGAGCCGGCTGGCCGTAGCATCGTCCCCTTATGTAGTGTATCATCCCTTTTTGATCCATTTCAGGTGGTATCATTGCCAATACCGTTCTTTTGATCCAACTTATTTGTCCCCGTTTTGACCATGAACACAAAATACGTGATTATCTCCTTCTCCTTAATGGGTATTGTCCTGAAATGCTTCATGATTGTCTGCGTGGGAAAGAACAAATCAAATTGAATGAACAACAACAAAAAACAAACCAATTTTATCGACTCACATCTGCCAATTGTGCCCGCTTCACGCCTTGCCGAGTTTGGACCTTAAAGTAGCGCTTATAGCGACGCAGCGTGCCGACGCTCAGCTGATAGAGATCGGGATACTCGTGCAAATCGGTGTCTGTCTCATTGCTATCATCCTCGCTGTCCTTGCGTCGGCGCTTGGTGCGCACAGACTGAATGCGCTCCTTGTGGTGGTCACAGATGTAGATGTGCTGGGCACTCGGGTCACTGCTCAGCTTCAGGCGCTTCTGGGCCACCGTCTTCTGGATGCGTTTGCTGTAGCTGGCATAGCCGGCCTGATTGCGACACCTTTCCATGTCGTCAATCAGGCAGCAGGTTTGGTCTGCATGGCCACGGGAGTCCTCCTCTCCGGTGCTGAAGCCGTTGTTCATCCTATTGCCACGTATATACCGGATCCCTTTATTGTCGGTGCCTTGCCAGGTAGTTGCGAGTGTGTGTGGTATATGTACTGCGTACTACTTGCTGCTCGCTACGTTTTGTTTCTCTGTTTTTGTTTCCTTCCCCTTCTGCGTCGTCTTCTCATCAATAATTTACGGTCACACTAGCGCCTAGCTGTACGGTCGTACTTAGGTATGGTATGGCAAATCGCTTTGAAATAGGTGGCCCAACTTGGAACAATTTCCCCAGATGTGGCAATGTATTTTGTGTACCCGTCACACTGAAGCGAAATGGTTTTCAAAGTAGTTTTGGGTACATTTTTATGCGCAAACATTTAAGACAAGTTCTTCCAACAGTTGTAAAGGTTGGAATCTTTTTGGCAGCTTCAGTTCCAGTACCCATTGCAGTGCCAGTTCATTGCATAAATGACAAGGTATATGATTGAGAGTCGTGCAGTATATTTGATCGATAAATCCACGGTCACACTGCTCCCCACCTAAACAAAACAATCGCCCCTTTGAACAAAATAAACGAAACGAAGCGTAAAACCATTGAATGTGGCGGGTCAACAATGCGTGGATAGCCGCCGCCTAGCGGGGGAGAGCAAGTGCATTACCAAGAACAGTCATGGCCAGCGCAGCACCAACAACCGTGGAATGTGACGCCACCCAGCAACGAGAGCGACGAGAGCTGAGGCAACAGCAAGTGGTGGCCAGCACACTGCTCACAGAGCTGCGACGCGCCACCAACTATTGGTTACAGTCAAAAAACGATGATGGCTTCCAGATGCTTGTCCAAACATGCTCACAGATTCTCCAACATGGCCTGGTGGTAAGAGAGCGATAATGAGAGCGCGACAGTGTCCGCATCGATGACGAATGTTGATGCAATTTATTGCTGTTCCTCTTTATCAGTTGCAGCCACAGCCTGGTGGCGGCGGGGAGCTGCAGCGTCTGGCCGATGACTTTGAGTTTTTGCTCGCCAGCGAGGAGAAGATGAAAAGGCAACAGCATCAGTCTTATCGTCGCTGCAGCGAGCAGCTGCCGCAACAGCCACAACGGAGTGTGGATGAGTTTTTCCACTGGTGGATCACACGCACACTGCGCGCCCGCTGCCTGTCGCAGTGCCTGCAGTCGCTGGTGGCCGACAAGGAGCTGATGGAGTGCTATTACCAGCGGGAGTTGGCCTTTCTACGCCACTCGGGGCATGCCACGACGCTGTTTGTGTGCCTTATGGCGGTGCAGCTCAACCAGAGCAGCCTGCTCAGCCAGCTGGAGGTGCACCGGCAGCTGCGACATCGACGCACCTGCTCGCAGCCAAATTTCAGCATCTCACCGCGCCTGCAGGTGGTGCCGGAGGAGAGGCAACATCTTCTGCAGCAACGGCGGCCCCACCCGCATGTCCGTCATTACCTGCGACTGCGACGCTTTAAGAGTCTGCCCAATCTGTCCCAGGACCCAGACGAGGAGCATGAGGCGGCCCGTCGACGCTGCCAAACCTACAGCAGTCCACGCACAAATAGAGCGACGACTGCCCGCGGCCAGACGGATGAGCCGGACATGATACCTTCCACATCGGCGGGCAGCTGCCACAGCAGCTCGAGCCGCTCCAGCACCAGCACCAGCATATCCAGCACCAGTCCACGGCGCATCCAGCTGATCAACTGCGATGACATCAAGATCTGGACGGATCAGACGGGCAGCCAGCAAGCGGAGATTCCCCAATCGCAGTCACAGGCCAACACACAGACCCAGTGCAGCCTCAGAGCCTCGCCACTGAACAACTTCCTGACGAATCTTTTTGGCTCCCCGCCTCTGTACACCAGTTGGTTCAATCGCGGCCTGGGCGACGATCTAAATGGACTGGGAAACGGTCTGGGAGACAGTGTGCTGGACAGCTTTCTGCCGGTGAACGGCAAGAAGCTGAAGAAGAAACAAACTCTCTTCGAGGGCGTCAGCATGCTGGATGAGGCGGCGGCAGCGGCAGCGACATCGGCAACCCTCGCGACCTTCTGCACTGCGCCGCTGGACATCGTTGGGATACCGGATGGCAGCTATGGCGGCAGTCAGGCGACCAGCTCTAGCTCGGCGAGTGCCACACCGGGGAGCCTGAGCAGCGACAAGGTTGACCAGCAGTCGCTGGCCACATTCCTGCAGATGTCACGCTACACGCACAACAACACGGACCTGGAGAAGGAGAACGCTCACTTTCGCATCTCGGAGGCCTGCATCACGGCCATCGAGCATGTGAAGTGGAGCCGCCGGGATGTGGCCAAGCCCAGCGCTGCCGCCTTCTCCACGGATCCCGATCTGATGCCGTACGTGGAGCAGATGGGATCTCTGGAAGGGGGCCACAGTAGCCACAGTGCCGAGGCCGTGGGCCTGCAGCTCATCTCGCGCTTTAACGAGCAGCAACTGCCGCGCGTGGGGCACCTCAAGTGGCTCGTTTCGGAGCAGGACACGCCGCAGCAGCTGCTGCCGATGCCCAAGCAGCAGCAGGACAAAGAAAAGGCCGCTGCCAGCCTGACGCGTGGCACAGCCACCTGGGCTCCGCCCCGCCAGCAGATCATCTTCACCGAACATCCCAGCGTCAGTCGCTCGCAGCAGATCAGTCGCCAGGGCAATCGGTGTGCCGGCTGCGGCATGCGTGTGGCTCGACAGTATCAGCAGCATTTCCGATACTGCAGCTACCTGGGCAAGTATCTGTGCACGGGCTGCCATCGCAATCAGATCTCGGCCATACCCGCCAAGATCCTGCAGAGCTGGGACTTTCGATGCTATCCAGTCTCCTCGTTTGCCTATCGACTCATCGAGCAGATGTACACCTTTCCGCTGTTCCATGTGCCCGATCTGAATGCCCAGCTCTATGCGAAGCACAAGGATCTCTCGACAGCGCGTCGCCGACGTCTTCAATTGCAGTCCGTGAAGGAATTCATTGGCAACTGTCGCTTTGCAGCGAGGTAAGTGGATCGGATTTGAGACAGAGTACAAACGAATAATTCCCTTGGATTCTGTTTTTTTTGGCAGGGAGCAGGCATTCTTCAATGCCATACCGCTGCACCTCACCCAGGATGCGGACATGTGGTCCATGTGCGATTTTGTGGATGTACAAAACAGCAGCATGAGTCGCTCCATCAAAGAACTGATCCTCCTGAGCGAACAGCATGTCCTCAATTGTGTGGTAAGTGTTTGATTTCAGGTTGGTTGTTGCTTCCCCCTGGCTATAAATCTCTCACGCATCTTCTGCTGCAGCTCTGCGTGGGTCGAGCCTTTGTGTGCGAATACTGCAAGAGCAGCGAGCTCCTCTATCCCTGGCAGCGAAAGATTGAGCGCTGTGGGCATTGCGGCGCCTGTTCCCATCACAACTGTTGGAAGGCCAGGCGCAGTGAGCCCTGTCCGCGCTGCACCCGGCTACAGGCCAGGGCCAGTTAGCACCCAACACCAACATATATACATATTTATATATATCTCTCTCACTGTATATAATCGTGTAAATTACCAAAACTGTTATGAAAATTATGTACCTCAAGACGATTGAAGAAAGGAGATCGCAGCGGACCGGTTCGGAGCGGAACCATGTTTATTTTATACATATATATACGATACGATACGAATATTTATTGTACACCCTGCACATATTGATTAAAGTATTCACTATATTTTTTAACTATACAATGTTTGTTTGTTTCTGTTATTTTATGTTTTTATTTTACATTTCAGTTCGTTCAATTGCGAACTAGTTCCCTTATGGATTCTCTCAGAGTAAAAATAATTTAGTGAGTCTACAGTACTGTCTCTACATTTACAAGATTTCTGAGCTATTACTTAGGTTACAAAGCAGTTTAGGAAACAGATTTTCAACATTAATTAAATGAAATAGATAGTTGTCCATTCTCCATGTATATATTTTTGATAAGTAGCAAACGTGTAGTTACCGTGTAATTAACATGTAAAAAACGGACATTTGTGTTAACCTTATGTGTTGAAACCTTTCTTTATAAACACTTCTTTTAATAAGCTTGATTGTAAAAAATGCACTAATCAATCGGATAAAATTATATGTTGAAGGCTGGGAGCCCTAAATAGCTTGTAACATTAAAACGAATATAACAATTGAGGAATATGATTTTAGTCGGTATATTTTGAAATTAAGATGGTATATTTCGGTATATTTAGGAGGTTCCAGGTAATATATTTAATCGATAAATTCGCTGTCACACTGACGCTGGTGTCACAAATTGAATTTAATTATCGTATTTATATATATATATTTGTTAATACATGTTTCACGCGCATTTGCAGTGCAATGCGTTAGATCTTGTTTTTATGTACATATGAACGTTCATATATGCATTTGTGTGTGTGATTTGTCTGCCAAAGAAGAGCGCAAGGAGCAACAGTGAAACGAAACGAGAGCGCGCGTGTCAAAGTCAAAAGTTTTGCATAAATTAATACTGTTGATTGTTGGTGCTGCTTCTGCGGCTGCTACTGATACTGTCAGGTGCTTGGTTGTGGGGTGATTTCTTACGGTGTGATGCGGATGGCGACAGAATTGCAGAAGTAAATCAACAGGTAAATATTCGGATATATGTACATATATGTATATATCTACCAACAAAAATGGGAGATGAGACTGCTGCTCCCATCTCCCTCTCTTCGCACTTATCCATACGCAAACATGCGCGAAATTAACTGTAGCTGTGTGTGCATGCGCGTGTGTGTGTGCGTGAGTAGCACAGTTATTAAAAATGTCTGTCGCCGCAACAACAACAAAGCCGGCCCGGCCGCTGTTTTAAAAAATAAGTTTATTCCCCCGCTCACTTCCCACCGTTCATGCCCATCGTTCGCTGTACATGGTATTTGTTCTGCTCTTGCCACAATCATTGTTCTCTTCTGATTCTTCTGCTCCTCCCCCTCCCCCTTCCCACCCACGACATCGCCCTCCTCCCGGCTCACATTCACGTGTGCAGCAGCAGCGCCGAACTGTGTGTGTGCGTGCGTGTGTGTGAAGGTCGGCCTGACTGTATAGGTGGGCGACCCTGCACTTGGAGCAAAAACATGTTATTGATTTGCTTCATAATTCTCTTCTTCTATTCTGGTTCCTGGTTCTGGTTCCTGCTGCTACTTCTGCTGCTGCTGCTGCTCCTGCTACCAAAGAGCAAACACACACACACACACCCACAAGGAGAACAGCTGGGGCAGGGTATATCCTTCCAAAAGGTGAGGCAGTGCGACAGGCACACACTGCTATTAGCCAGTTGCCCCACCTGGAAACACAAAGCGCACTCGAAAGCAACGCTCTCCTTTTGCATTGATAAGTTTGGTCGATGGTACCTCCGGCTCCTGTTGCTTCCTTTTGCTCGTCAACATTGACTAGCCCCTATATGTACATATATAACGCGCATTGCTTGTTAGCCCGGATAGCCGCTTGATGGATGGATGAGGTCATAGTTGGCTAACACCAGTAGTAGTCCTGTTCTATTTCCGTCGATCCCAACACTCACACACACAGAGCAGATGAGCTCTCTCTTTCTGTGTGTGTTAACCTCATTCCACCAGCAGTAGAGTCAATCGGTCAATGCAATTACTTAGCTTATTTTATTTATTACGGCCCTCATTCCATGGCCTCCCCAAAATTCCCATTCCCATTCTCATTCCATGATATATTCGCTGATTCTACAATGTCGTAGAAGGTAGTCGGCATCATCGTCTGGCGGCGATAAGGTTGACAGATAGATATTCCCCGAGATATCACCGCAACAACTAAGTGAAATTGCCAAGGCTACGCTCGATACGATGCCACATTCAGCTACAGATACAAATCAAGATCATCCATCGTCACTCCCAACGCTCCTTTAAGGCCTCCCATCTGAATGGCAGATTCCGGTACTGAAGTGGGCCCTCTCCGCCACTCGAGTCTCGCTCGCTACGTTAATTTTCCACCCAAAAAAAGATACCTTATCGATGGTCAACACTCCTCGTAGTCCTCCATTGATTGGGGGGGCGGGAGAGACAGACAGAGAGAGAAAGCGTTATGCAAATTGTATGCCCGAAAGAACCCAATCACACCATACCCCCCCACGCTACCAATGATAACAAATAGTAGATACTTGGGACGATGCTATAAATACATTTCAGTATTGTTTACCCATCATTAGTTGTGTAATTTTATGCAGATAATAAACGTGAGCGCGTAATGTGAGTGATAAGAGCTATCTCTCTCTCCCTCTCTCTCTCTCTATCGAGGACAGTAACAGAGGGAATGGATTCGTCTGCTGTCTAGACTTTGTGCGAGGTAAGGCAATGCATGAATATCTTTCATTTGTAAACCAGTTATTAATCAGTTTACATTTATTTCAGCAAAAAGGATAATAATCCCATGAGTTTTCGGACTCGCTGAGGATACAAAGTTTAACCGAGGTCTCGCAGCACAAATAAGATTTAAACACAGCTGAAAGAACGTGCCAAAATGCGTCCAAATGTCATATAAATCTTTGGATAAGATTACACGAAAACAGCACAAAAACTGGGAACTAAACAAGTCTTACAGATAATACGAATTATCCTACACTCCACGACTCCACTCAAAAAAAAACTTAACTCTGCCAACTCTGTGGATAAGATAAGGTTAGAGTTTGGTTCTTTAATTGGAAACTGTTTGCTGCACGCTAACCTTAAAGATCAATCTAGACTCTGGAAGTTCAAAGATCAAGTATGAGAGAAAACGTCCATGATTGATGACGTACATTGGCTCGAATGATGACGCGACGACTATGATGATGATGTGGAGGCCACAGGTGCAGGCGGAGAATGCAAAAATCTAGATAAGATATCAAATGTATAGAGTACAATGAGCAGTGAAAGCCCATCATCAGGGTAGCATTTTTTGTTTCTGCTGCTGCTGCTGCTGCTGCTGCTGCTGCTGAGTCAAGTGGTTCGTTCTGGAAGCTTCTGAGTACTCGGTTCTGGTGGCTTCAGTTTTCAAATTAAATATCGTCTGTCATACGAAAATTGGGAGCAAAGTAAAGAAACTCTTTTATGGGTTTTATGGCCTTGTCTTGGACTCAATTTATCAGCAAAATTCTATGGGCCACTCTCTGCTCTCTCTCTCTCTCTGTCTCCCTTCCATCATCCATAAGTGGGGCTGTCGTAAAAATAACAATCTGCTATGGGGCAGGCCGGCAGGTCTCCTATCAGTTTGCCATTAGTTGCGATAAGCGCAAACGTCTGACGATCGCGCTGACTCTGCGATTCGATTGAAACTTGCACCAGTCCAGTGGTCGTCGAAGACGTTGCGGATTATAAAAGTGTCAATTAAAATCATATTTGGCTTTATTGCAGATCACATATTAGCCACTTTGGCTGTCCGTAATAATCTGTCTTAAGGCAGAGTTCATAAATCGCGAATCCATATTTATGACCCGCGCTGAACTCGCTCCTCGAATCAGTCATTAATTATTTAAAGCCAAGTCTGATCAAGTGAGTTACGGCAGGCGAAGGCTTCCTGTTTGTGGAATATTTGTGAAATATTTTCCCCAATTAAAGGAATGATTTCAATTGTCTTTTTATTACAAATTGAAAGGCAGCCACTGGCATGGCTCTGGGGCTGGGGCGGTCAGTGGCAGTTAAAGTGCAAATCGATAAAATGCAAATTGTTTTGTAACGATGGGAAATTGTGCAAACAAGAGCTGAGCAGCGCCAGCACCTCCCCTACCCGTTGAATATTTCAAGAGGGGTGGTGGCAGGGTGTCCTGCCTGCTGGCCAGGACAGAATGATAAAGACATTTATTTCCTGGAAGTTTAATCTAATAAATGGCTAATCAAACGATGACTGACACCCCCTGAAGGAGGTCGGGGTGTCTAAACAAAGACGCAGACACACAGCCGTCACGCGAGACATTTTACATTTAATTGATTTTGTTGTTACTCAAATATTAAATGACATTTCTGTTTTATTTGCAGTACACACCAACCATTGTTGTCATCATTGCCACCATCATCATCGTCTTCATCATCAGCAGCAGCTGAGAGAGATCCAGAGAAGGCTTCAGAGAGACAGCCAGAGGCAGCCTTAGAGCCCATTTTCCGATACGCCGAAGTCAATTAGAACAGTCGCCACCACGACGTCGCCGCCGAAAGCTTACTTGTTGTCAGCCGAGCACTTGGACGACGCCAGCGCCGACGATCGCGGGCGTGTCTACAAGCTGAGGAAGAAGAAATATCTCAGGGGGCCTCACATCACATAGATACGACCAAGGATAGATAGTGGATAGTGTGTGGACGGAGGAGCAGTGCGAAAAGAGAGGCAGTGAAAGTGGAAGTTTGAACAAGAGAGACAGAGAGAGAGAGAGAGCGCTGCCAAGATGCCTGTGCAGTCCCCCATTGAGATCAGCAACCGGGCCATCGAGCATATCGATGATGTGGATCCCCTCGAATACCATGGCCACTGGGAGCCGGTGGGTGTGGCCCGTGTCCAAAACACAGGCACCTCGGCCATGGTCACCTTCAGTAAGCGAAAACAGCAGCCGTATATCATTGGCGGGGCACTGGACACGAATAAATATGTATTCGAGCAGTTGCACTTCCATTGGTCGGACTCGGATGAGTCGGGCTGCGAGCACACACTGGAGGGCATGAAGTACTCAATGGAAGCACATGCCGTCCACTACAATGCCAAGTACAAGGACTTCACCGAGGCCAAGAACAAGCCGGACGGTCTCGCTGTGGTTGCCTTCTTCATACAGGCATGCGGCGAGAAGGATTGCCCCGAATTCAAGAAGATCACTGAAGGCATACGCATTGTCCAAAAGATAAGCACGAGCGCATCGCTGGATTCCGGTGAGTGTGGAACTGCTAGACGGGGATGCGTCGCTGGATGTAATGCATGTAAAGACTAACTAAAGACTCATTCACTTGTCGACAGATTGCCTATCGTGGATTGGTCTGCAGGAGCTGAGCAAACACTATTACACATACAAGGGATCGCTGACAACGGCGCCGTACTTTGAGAGCGTCACATGGATTATCTACCGCACACCTATCTATGTGTCGAGGGGTCAGGTGAGTCGAAAGTCCAACCCAGTTGCTAGTTCTACTATAATTGAATGTTCGTTCTCCTTCCCCTCTGTTATCGCCAGGTGAGCGTCTTTCGCAACTTGCAATCGTGTCCCAAAGATGAATCCAAAAAGATAGTCAACAACTCTCGCGAGATACAGCGGCCGCACAAGGACCCAGAGATCTTCTTTGCCCGCAACACAAACCTAAAGTCAAAATTATGATGTGTTTGCTGTGTGACACCGAACTCTCGAAATGTGAGGCTCGGCACTCGCTCGATCGATCCATGCTCTTCGTCATGCGTCACACACATTGCCACGACCGAAAAACCAAAACCGAAACGATTCTCTATTCTGTTTTGTTCTCCACCACTCCCGCCCTTGAACCGGGTCATTCCTCTTTTGAATCGTAAATTAAACTTCAACTATATTTTATATATGTAAATCTATCGATGGTTGTCGTCTGTCAGCTGCTATCCAACTATATCTATATATATACATATATCTTTTTTTTCTGTTTGATTTTTGTTTTGTTTGTTACTTTGCCTCATTTTGTACATAGCGTTATATTAAAGTAGTGGATATACCATTAATATATCAAGTAATTACGTTACGATTTACGATCATTATAGTCGGAACACGCGGTTGCCTTGCATTAGATATTTCAGAGAAATATTTATCAAACACACCCACACACACCCACACACACACACAAACAACTAACTACTTAAGAAGACATTTAACTAACTATATCTCTACTCTACATCCTACGTATATCTATCGATTGATCTTTTTAACATAGGCACAGAGATTGTGACATACGAAAATGAATTGAATACAAAACAAAAGCAAAACAACTTGAAAACTCCTTACATTTAAGGTGTAATAATTTTTTTTTTGTATGCAATAACTGAATTTACTAAATATCTAATTAAAAAAGAAATATGTGTATGTGTATATGTATGTACATTGTCATATAATGTTAAAATCGTGAGTTATTTCGCTTTCTCTCGCTCTCTGTCTGTTTGGTCATTTCTTTCTCTCTCCCTCCCTCGTCTCACGCCAACAGCAGCAGCGGCACCAAATGCTCTATAAACCATGCCTTGGAAATGGCCAAATGATCGCCCTCGATGCCCAGAAACTGCAGCTTGCCCTTCCTCAGCATACGGTCCAGGCCAAGCTGAAACAACACGAGGCAGAAAATCAGTTGGAAAAATATAAAAATAGATCTGAAATGCAAGCTCACATCTTTGTAGACTTTGCTCTCGTTGAAGGGCTGAATGACCTGATCCTGGCCGGATGTATAGAACTGAAACCATTGCGAATCCTTTGGCTGAACAATTGTGTCATTGAGAAACTTGACCATAACGAATCTGAAGTGGAGGGAGAGGGAAGACAGTGGCTAGAATGTACGGGCTTTCTTCTAACTCACTTTTTCAGCTTGTTGAGGTTCTCGATGTAGTTCTCGTTCAGATACAATTCATTGTTGATGTCAGCCAGGAAGGTGCTGCCTAGACGATAGTGGTTCTCGTGCAGCGGATCGTGCCAGTATGTGGCCTGCACCAGTTCGTCCTGCACCCATCTGCCGGAAGAGTATCAAAAGAGATTAGCTAAAGAGATCACAAGTATGTGGTGTGCAACGGCACTCACTCCTCGTAGGCGGCCTCGTTGAGCAGGCGGCTTAGGTACTCGCATGAGGTGGCTGTCAGTGTGGGGCATTTGGGCAGGCCAAAGACGCCCTGATGCTGGCCGCCCAGCGTGATCAGCGTGCGCATGGGTGGTTCGGGACAGCGCTGGGCCACCGCTCGCAGAAATTGGCCGCCCTGCGAGAAGCCGATGGCGTTGTAGCCCTTGGCCAGGCGCTCGTCCTGTGCCAAATGCTTGCAGACATACTCAACCTGTTCGTTGGGATGCACGAAGAAGCCACTCTCGTAGTCCAGCACCACATTGCCGCCGATCTTCAGCGAACGGACATAAGTCCCATTCGTGTGCTCCTCAATTAGCTTCTTGATTGACCCCAAACTGAAGGGCAAGCAACAAGTGTCGCCCATACCATGCCATAGCACCACGGGCAGCACTGTCGTGGCCCCGCTCGTTCCACCTGCGCTCGCACTCCAAATCAGGTAGCCCAATGACAGGATAATAGCAGCAGACAACATTTTTGCGGCACGAAAAAGTTTCTGTTTATTTCTGTTGTTGCAGCTGAAATATACCGCCTTACCCTCAGAAATATACCGAAATATACCGCCGTAACTTTGCTGACTTTAAGGCCTAGTATATACTGTATGGTTAGTTACTTAGATCCGAAGAAATTCTCTGCTGAAATGAAACCGATAAGACCCTTTTTCGAGTAAAAACTGTTTGTTGTCACGCAGTTAGAGTTAAGTACTCAGCTGCGCTAAAATGTTGGTAGACAGCCAGTGTTATATATTTCTCTCGATGCCCAGTATGAGCAAAGTGGGCAAAGTGCATGCTCGGTGGGTGCACTGTTTGAGTTTGCTGATAAAAAAAAAATCTGTTAAGAATTCAAAGCAGTCAGGATTATTATCGTAGTATTGTTGGAGAGCTTTTAAGGAGCTTGGAGGAACACAACGCATGCAGAAAGTACCGCTTTATTGAATAGGTACGTTCGGGCGGGAAAGCTTGAGCTTGAGGCTATTAAAAAGACAAAAGAGGAACAAATTATTATGGATAAATGGGAATAAGTATATAAAATTTAATTTTTTTAAATTTACTTGTACGCCAGAGGCGTCATGTTGCCAAGAAATGTTTTAATTTGTATTCCTTTTCGTGGCCAAGTACTGATGCACCAATCCAAAAAGGCTGCAGAAATTCTTCTCAGACTTTCTCAAAGAATACTCACTTGATGGCTTTTGGAGTTATATTTTCAACCTACGACCCTTCTTGTTTCTTTCCTGCAGATATGAGTTTGTTGATTGTCCTCCTCCTCCGTTAATACCAGTTAATACCTCCTCCGCAGTAAACCTCACACACACAAACACACACCCAAGCATCTCCTTTGGCATTTTCATAGCATACTTCTTGGGTCTAGGGTATCCTAAGGGTTTCAGGGAGCCGACAAGTTTAATCTGCTTGGATATGGCAATGTGTATAAATTATATATTTTGGAAGTTTTGGTGCCCTTGCCGTTTGGTGCGCGTTCAATTACTTGAATTGTTTTATATTTTCTTTTACAATCCTTGACCTTCCCAACTGTTTTAATCTTACACAACTCATACACGTTTTATCCGTGCACTCTATTTCCGGCGGACGATTCGAAGAACACATTTCAGCGCTCCCAAACATTCCATATGGAACTCCTTTGAATTCCTTTGGAAATCTTCAAATAAGCTTTATAACCTTTACCTATAGAGTCGAATGCAATTCGCATACTTCTAATTTATCTTCTCATCGTTTTTGGACTTTCGTTTCAGTACTTGACATTTTGTTGCTATTTTAAAGTCGTATTTAGTCTGTTTGACACGTTGCACGTTTGAGGATGGACGCAGAAAGGCTCACAGTTGACCCAGGAACACGGACCTCGACTTGAAGATACCCGGTTAAGCCGGATCAATGTATGTACCCATAATGGAAGGATAAATCGTTGCGTTACTATGACCATAAAGTAGCTAGAGATCTGTTTTTGGTTTATTTTAGACTGCTCTTTTATTGCTAAACAAAAACAATTGAAAGAAAAGGAAACAGATTTAAATCAGTGGATAAAATGCACATTAAATGTCCGATATATACACTGCCATATGCTTTGTGGGTATCTAGAGCACGCCATTGTCTGGCGCCACCCCCGCTGGCCCCACAGCCAGTCCTGAGCCCTGCTGCTGCTGCTGTTGCTGCTGCTGCTGCTGCTGTTGTTGGAGTTTACTGCTCTGCGAGAAGTCGATGCAGGCACCCGAGGTGAGATCAATCTCCTCAGAGTCTGAGCCATCGGAGCCGTCGTCGGAGTTGCTGGCCAGGGCAGCCATCCCGCCCAGATCCATGCCGTGCGCGGGCGCCTTGTACAACTTCAATTCCGTATAGGTTTTGGACAGCTTGTCCTGGCTATGGGCATGCCCCTGCACAGGCTGCTGCTGTTGCTGTTGCTGCTGCTGCTGCTGCTGGAATGCCGGATGCATCATGGTAAAGTTGGCAGCATCCGCGCTGGAGCTTAGGTCGCTGCTCACGTGGGAGTCCTTGCCGGCGGATAGATTCTCTGCCGTTTGGCTTGGCGGACGGTTGCTACCACCACCTGACTGCGCCCCTGCACCGGCCAAGACGGGGGGCGTGCCCAGGCTGAGGCATCGCATACGCCAGGCATCCTGGAGCAGCTGCAGTCGTGCCTGCTTTCGCCATTTGGCTCGACGGTTCTGGAACCACACCTGAGAGATCAATGGGAGGAATGGTCGGGGGTTAATACAAAAAAAAAAAAGCTCTGTAATTAAGTAAGTCTATGCAAAGCGGGAATCCCTCAGTGTATTTCGATTTCAAAGTCTCTGCATGAAATAAATGGTCGACTCCTTCGAATTGCTGATAAACTGGACTCTGATAACTCTTTGCTTGATCTATCATTTATGCTGCATTTATTCGGATTATTGGGTTTAAAATTCACCTGAACACGCGCCTCGCTGAGACTGATCCTCAGGGCCACCTCCTCGCGCAGAAATACATCGGGGTAGTGGGTCTTCTGGAAGAGGGCTTCCAGCTCCTGCAGCTGCTGCGGCGTGAATGTGGTCCGGTTACGGCGCTGCCGCCTCCGCCCGAACATGTATTCTGTGAGCAGATCGCCGGGCAGCGGCGATATGAATGGTCCAGCCATAGTCGAGAGATTTGATCAGTTACTTTCTTCTTTTTGGGTTTTTTTCTGATTGTAAATTGTAGATTTTGTTTCCAATATTGTGGAATTTGGATTTTTGATGGGTTCACAAACGCGGCACACAGGTGAAAAAAATTGGAAGCGAATACGCGCAGTTATTCAAATCTCCCGCCAGTGGGCGTCACAACAACAACAACAACGAACAAAAAAAAACGGTAACGGTAATTAATTTGTTGGTAATTTGCAGGAGAGATGTGTATTCTGTTCGAAGTTTGGCCAGCGACTGTGGAAATGCAGTCGGCGGTCTGTGGCTTTTATGAAGCGGCGAATGGCAGCATCAGCAGCAGCAGCAGAGCAGAGGCAGCGGCAGGACTTTAGCTAATCTTTGTGTGTGTGTGGCTGGGTGAGTGGGTGCGCTGGTGCGCCTGCGACTCGCATTTGTAGTTGTGTTAATTAAGAGAGCTTCTTCCCTCGAGCCCCTTTTGCCACAACTAATTATATTTGCCATCCCTCTCGCTCTGTACATCTCTGTCTTGTCTCGTGAAACACTTCTTCATATATGAAAACTAATTAGAGTGGCACTTTCTCTCTCTCTCTCTCTCTTTTGCCTCTTCTTCACCTGTGCCAATTAAAATGCGTTTAACGGTACTGCTTCAATGGAATTAACACTTGGGCCTCAGCTCTCTCTCGCTCTCCAGCTCTAGCTCTCTCTCCACACCACCGCCCACATCGGCACTGCTGTCTCCCTCTAGCCTCGGACACGCTGCGCAGCCTCCGAATCATAAGCTCGCTCCATTCGTTCTCTTGCTCTTTCGTTCGTGCGAGTTCGGCTGCTGCTCTGCTCTTGTTTCTGTGACTGCGTCGGGGGTTTATTGTTTTCTCGTTTTGACTTCGTTAAAATTACGGCACAAGCACAAAAACCTCATAAGCGTTGTTCCTCTAACTGTGCATGTGCCTGTGTGTGTGTGTGTTTATGTGGGCGTGGGAGAAGAGGGAAAGTTCTATGTGCAGAGCACGTCGTGATGTTCCATTAGATGAGTCTTATATCCTGCACCGTGTCCTTAGGTCTTTTTGGAAACTTAACAAAGTAGAGGCACAGTTTTTGCACAAAGTCTTGCCTACTTTTTGTAGAAAATAAACTTTAACAGAAACCATTTGGTTTCCCATCCCAAATAAGATCCCGAAAAGAAACACAGAAATCGACAGGATGACTGTTTTAAAGCGAGTTAAATAAAGTGTCAAGTGTCAAGTGATATTGGTTGCATCACAACTTTAATTTCTGACGATAATTCTGAGTTGTATTTAACGAGTTTATCGCCCAAAGATATAGGATAAAACTACCCGACAAAATGCAACTAATTGTTTCCTCAAAGAACCGACTTTTTCTGATAGATTTGGGGCATTACAATATTTTTCATCGAGCTTTGTTTTTCTTTTCTATGGATAAATGTTTCTTTGAAGAATTTTTCAAAGTGTGTTCTTTTTTTTCTTGAGCTCATTTTCAGAGGCTTTTTTCATACATCTGCTTTTAAAGAGCTTTGCCATTCTGAAAATGATCCACGGATGTAGGAAAATATTTTTGTTTTAGTATGTGTCCCTTCTGTGCTGCAAATGATGCTAAAAGTGGTGAAGCAACTCTAAGCGCGTCTCACAGCGTTCCTCCTCATTTCTTATCCCATTACGTACATCCATATAAATATGTATTGCCCCACTGTGCTGCCTTCACCAGCTCCCAGACTTGCCTTTGTGTTAGCAATGTTGTACCTGTGAATAATAAAATTCAAATCACTTAATGCTACAAGCTGAGAAAGAGAGCGAGCGAGAGAGAGATGGGAAGAGAGAGACAGGCTTCGCCGCTGTCGTCGGCAGCAGAACAATGAGGCAACACCCTGTGGCACAGAGGTGGGGAGTGGCACCCCAGGAACGGGGTGGGGAGTGGGCATAAGAAAATGAGGTTGCCACCACAGCTGATGATGATTATGATGTCGATGTTGCACCAACAGCGGCAGCAACAGCAACAGCAACAGCAGCGGAGGGAGCAGCGAAACAATGCAAGCACATCCTTGTCTCTTTTTCTCTGTCTGTGTGTCTTTCTCTCTCTGTGTCTGTGTGTTTGCCTGTTTGTGTATGTTAAACAAATGAAGGGATGTAATTTTCTCATTTGCATTTGCATTGTATTGTGTTGTGTCGTGTTGTGCTCAGGTCCCCATGCCACCAACTGCCACCTGCCACTGGCTCNNNNCTGCCACACGTTTTTCCGTTTTACTTTTTGCGCTGCGCTTGCGCTGGAAATTATATTTATTTATTATTTATGAAGAATAGGCGTGGCACTCCTTCCCCCCTCGCATACAAACACCCCCTACCTCG